CTTCCCTTGCCATCCACTATGCCATAATCTCCCACAATGCCATGATCTAAAATCGAATTCTTTATTTAAATTTCCCCCCTTGCCTTCCACAATGCCATGATCTAAAATCTACCTCTTTATTCAAACTTCCCTTCCCTTGCCATCCACTATGCCATAATCTAAAATCTAACTCTTTATTTAAACTTCCCCCCCCTTGCCTTCCACTATGCCATGATCTAAAACCTAGCTCTTTATTTAAACTTCCCCCCCTTGCCTTCCACAATGCCATGATCTAAATTCTAAGTCTTTATTTAAACTTCCCCCCTTGCCTTCCACAATGCCATGATCTAAAATCGAATTCTTTATTTAAACTTCCCCCCCTTGCCTTCCACAATGCCATGATCTAAAATCTACCTCTTTACTTAAACTTGCCTTCCCTTGCCATCCACTATGCCATAATCTAAAATCTAAGTCTTTATTTAAACTTCCCCCCCTTGCCTTCCACTATGCCATGATCTAAAACCTAACTCTTTATTTAAACTTCCCCCCCTTGCCTTCCACAATGCCATGATCTAAAATCTAATTCTTGATTTAAACTTCCCCCCCTTGCCTTCCACAATGCCATGATCTAAATTCAAACTCTTTATTTAAGGACTACCACCATGCTACAACTTCTTCAACGTGGAGATCGGTCTGCACAAGAGCCTGCGACCAGGATGGGCCATATTTTATTCTTTCCATGCTTGTTCTGAGAATATATCTTTTGGCAGCTTGGACGAGATAACATTGGTTGTATGTTGCTGTTTTTGGCATGATGTCGAAGGACACTGAACTTCTTGATTGTTTGCGCAGTTTCGGAAAGCTGATCCTGATGGTCGTCATTTTTCGCTTAGGCTCCTGCGCAGAGTATTTCCCCAAGAACAGCTACCACGTTCGTCTACGTAGCATTATACTTTCACTTCCTTTACATCTCCCACATAAATCAACTTCATCTACATGACATACAACTCCTACCAGTCATGTACATCAGCTACATCATTTACATCATCTTAAACAGCCGTTGTTACACAGGAGTTAGGGCACCGAAGTTGTCGCACAGAAGTTCTTACATAAAAGAGCCCTTTGGGAAGGGCTTGGACGGGCTTCCAGGGGGCTGGACGGGGGGCTTCAGAAGGGCTTGAAGGAGGCTTGCGGGGCTTGAGGCCCGTTGAAGGTGGCTTCAAGGGGGCTTGAGAAGGGCTTCAAGGGGGCTTGAGAAGGGCTTCAGGGGGGCTTGAAGGTGGCTTGCTTGAAGGGGGTGTAATATTTAACGTGTTAAATATAGGGTATGCGGGTATGCATGAGTAAATATGGGGTAGTGTGTGCATGAGTTGTGGGTGAGCATGTTCGGTGTGAGTAAATTAACTACTAGTTCTATGCGAGTAAGTTTTTGTATGTGTACCTGTTGCGTAAGTTGTATGTATGTGAAAATTGTCTCCAAGGTGTCTGAGAAAGTTGAATACAAGCGTTGTTTGTGTGTATATTATGCTACTCCGAAAGCAACAGAAAGACCAGCAAATGTGGAAACACTTCCCCTGTACATTGCCAAATTTTGAAGCGTGCAAACGTGCAACTTTTGCGTCGGAAGAAGAACTGTATAGTTTCTTATTCACACTTCTAAAAGTTGCACGGTTGCACTCTCATTTTTCTCTATCTATTTTTTGGCAGCAAAGAAGAGAAATTGACCACCTTGTTGTTCCATCAGAAGTGGTTTGCTTGCGACCTTGTCCGCCACAATATTTGGCACGTTCCCCCTCACCCCTCCACACAATGATTCCGCAAAGTAAGACAATCATTCTTTGCAGCATCTGCACACACACACACAGACTCTGCGAACTGCAACTGCTGCTTCTCTTTTTTGGAGCTGAAAAAAAGAAGAAAAACTAGAGACGCAAATACGGGCCTCCAGTTCAAAATTCCTCCCACAGATGTTGTTTGTGTTAAGTAGCTTCAAGCTTGAGATTTTGCGCACATGGCAGCCTGCAAAGCTTCAGCGCATCTGATGAAATAAAGGGGCCAAAAACAGACCCGCTAGGAGGGACCACTTTCGATCCTAAGAGGGTCCACTTTTGGACCCCTTTTGAAATACATTTGCTTTGCGCAAGGGTGCAAAACTGGGCCAGTCGCCCTCATGGCTCAGTTGGTATGACGTCACTCTTGTGGCGTTGACAGACTGCCGGTGGTGGTGATGCCCCTCTTGAGTCCGTGAGTAAGACTCAAGACCGTAAACCCGCCGAAAGACAACGGGCTCGGACAAAAAAAATGGGGGCAATGGGGAGATGCCGGGTCTGTCACGTGCACTTGAGCCAGCTTGGGGGTCGAAGGTTGCGTTTGGACGGCTTTTACTTCCACCTGTCACAAAGAAGGGTCCGTTTTTTGGACCTAAAATAGCAAGAAAAACTAGAGACGCAAATACGGGCCTCCCCAGTACATGGGATTCGTCTTGGGACTTGGGGTGGAGTGGGGTGGGGGTGGGCGTATTAACGTTCATATAGACTCTAAGCAGAAACGAATGCCTTTGGACAGGGTAGGATATGGCTGGAGGTAAGAGAGATGTTACATGTGACGTTCGTTACGCTGTTTGCATTGATAGGGTGAAGATGCTACATGTTACGTTGGGTTGTTTGTGTTGACCGGGTGAAAGATGTTACATTTTACGTCGTGGGATATGGCTGTAGTTTGGACAGATGTTACATGTTACGGTAATTTTTGGGTGTTGACCGAGTAAAGATGATACATGTTACTTCGTAGGATACGGCCGTAGTTAGGACAGATGTTACATGTTACGTTATGTTTGATGCTACGTTAAGTAGTTTGTTGACTGAATAATGATGATACATGTTACGTTAAGTTGTTTGTGTTGGTCGAGTAAAAATGTTACATGTTACATGAAGTTCTTTGTGTTGGTCGAGTAAAAATGGTACATGTTGCATCCAGTTCTTTGGGCTGACAGAGTAAAGATGTTACATGTTACGTCATGAGATGTGGCTGGAGTTGGGACAGGTGTTACATGTGACGTTACGCTGTTTGCCTTGACAGGGTAAAGATGCTACATGTTTCGTTAAGTTGTTTGTGTTGACCGAGTGAAAGATGTTACATGTTACGTCGTGGGATATGTCTGTAGTTAAGACAGATGTTACCTGTTACGTTAAGTTGTTTGTGTCGACCGAGTGAAGATGCTTTATGCTACGTTAAGTTGTTTGTTGACCGAGTAATGATGTTACATTTTAGGTTAAGCTTTTTGTGTTGGCCGAGTAAGAATGTTACATGTTACATTAAGTCTTCTTTCTGTTGGCAGAGCAAAGATGTTACATGTTACGTCATGGGATATGGCTGTAGTTAGGACAGATGGTACATGTTACGTTAAGTTGTTTGTGTCGACCGAGTGAAGATGCTTTATGCTACGTTAAGTTGTTCGTTGACCGAGTAATGATGTTACATGTTAGGTTAAGTTTTTTGTGTTGGCCGAGTAAGAATGTTACATGTTACATTAAGTTTTCTTTCTGTTGGCAGAGCAAAGATGTTACATGTTACGTCATGGGATTTGGCTGGAGTTAGGACAGGTGTTACATGTTACATTAAGTTTTCTTTCGGTTGGCAGAGCAAAGATGTTACATGTTACGTCATGGGATATGGCTGTAGTTAGGACAGATGATACATGTTACGTTAAGTTGTTTGTGTCCACCGAGTGAAGATGCTTTATGCTACTTTAAGTTGTTTGTTGACCGAGTAATGATGTTACATGTTAGGTTAAGTTTTTTTGTGTTGGCCGAGTCAGAACGTTACATGTTACATTAAGTTTTCTTTTTGTTGGCAGAGCAAAGATGTTACATGTTACGTCATGGGATTTGGCTGGAGTTAGGACAGGTGTTACATGTTACATTAAGTTTTCTTTCTGTTGGCAGAGCAAAGATGTTACATGTTACGTCGTGGGATTTGGCTGGAGTTAGGACACGTGTTACATGTTACATTAAGTTTTCTTTCTGTTGGCAGAGCAAACACGTTACATGTTACGTCATGGGACTTGGCTGGAATTAGGACAGATAGGCGGCAGTGGCAATGGCGGTGGGTCCAGAAGAAACACTTGTTTCAGGCCACCGGTCGGCAGTAGCACAAAGAAACTTTTGGATTGAATAAAAAATCCGAAAAAAACGCACCGATGAACAAAGCATGCATATGTCAAAACGAACTGGCCCAACACCCAGCTTTTAGACACTTGGAGAAAGGAATTTGATCAAATTCGTTGCAGATATGAAGTTGCAATTCGCATAGCCTTGCCTAGACAAAATACACATTCGACTGTAAATTAAGGTCTGAATAACCCCCCGGGACGGATAATTTTGATCCATACCCTTCTGACAAATTGCAAAAACACGATGGGGTTGTTTATTGTTTATTCATTCAGCAACAGGGACAATAGATTGGGGAGCTGGGACAATTTTGACGAAGGGATTGCAGCCAAACCCTTGGTTTTTGGCGTTTTTTTTTAGTTTTGATTTTGGGCGAAATTGGCTGGGTTAAAAAGGCACTGAATTGTTTTGGCAGTGGCTGTGGTGAAACGTTGGGTATAAAAAAATGCTAACGCAGGCGAATGTAGGTAAAACGACCATGAACCACCAACTTTTTGGGGCACCTCAATTTTTGTGCGACAACCCCGATTTTTTTGTTCATGCTCATCCTCTTGTTGACGACACACATTTGTGAACCTGGAGGACCTGTCCACCGGTTGAAAAAATGTGAAAGCCGTGTCACCTTGCAGCCATGAAACATGGCAATAGAACACATGAGGACACATGAAATTCATGAAATGATCCATTTTTTTCCTCCACGAACCAAATGGAATGATGCCGCATCAACATTACTTAGTTTTCATGAATTTTCCACGTTTTTCCCAGTCCCAAAATTTGAAAACCACATTTTTTTTCAGTTGAAAAGAGGAAATTTCCATGACTCAAATCACGGCCATGGCCCATTTTTGATTTTCTTTACCTGGCAGCTGGGCTGCTGGGTCGCTGCATAACCGATGGGTTATGGCGATGGGCACCGTGGGGCGTCAGGGTCTCAGCCGTCAATGGTTGATGGAACCACCATCATTCATTTTTTCCACGAGGGGGGCCATCAAGTGCGGGAGTTCTGAGGTGGAGCTAATTTTTGATATAAGCAAGTAGATCAGAATCGGTTTGCGCAATATTTTGCTGCGATGTGTTTCTACCTTTGTGTTTGTAATGAACAGTTGTTGGGTTAGGGCCGTTAAGGGTTTATGTTTTGACCCGTCCCCAGATGGTTTGATCCAAGGTATGGACTGAATGGTGGCTTCAAGGTACCAGATCCAAGGTATGGACTGAATGGTGGCTTCAAGGTACCAGCCGGGAGAGGAATCCGGAGTCCAAGAGAAGTATATTTTTGTTTTGCTTAATTCTCAAATCGTTTCCCCCATCATTCTAGTGTACATGTCTGCAAATTTGTTATTTTTGAAGATGGGGTTAGTTAGTTGCACCTGGGTTGCAAATAGGGTCACACACACTTGCTTTTATATGGACGCCCCAACCCCAAAAACTTATACGCGCAGCAGGTTTCCACTGTTTCATGAATTTTGACAGGTTAACCATTTTTGTGAATGGTCAAAGTCCAGGCGTTTTTGTCATGTCTCATGATTGAGATCTTCTGGTGTCAAGGCCGTAAGTTCCGGTGGGTTTTATGCACCCATGGTAAATGGGGCCCTTCTGCAGGGTGGAAGCAATGGCATGTCTGCCTGACCTGCTTTCTCATGGGTGGGTGCCCGCTGGCCCAGTGTCGTGGTTGAAGGGTACAAGCAATCTGGAAGAACAGTAGAGACAGATCCGTTCTCATGAGCATGGTTTTCCAAATTACCCCAAACTCAAAGGATTTTTCGCGATGACTCTTGATCCTCTGGTGGAGCCTTCGATACCCCAGCATTCCATGCTTGTACCATATTGAGACTGTGATTGCTGCTGGTTAAGCCAGGCAATCCAAAGGCGCGGAGGGTCCCGAAAGTTGGAGAAAACCATCCAAACAGCCAGAAAACGGATTGGGACAACGTTTCCAACAAGGATTGGTCAGAGGTTTTTCGCTTCATTTTTTTTTTTGAGACCCCAACACGTCCGTGCAGCTTACATCCATTGCTCACAAGAATGCCACCAACTGCTACAGTAGATTGATATTCCCAAGGTCTTTTTGGGTTCCAGCGCTGCGACCCCAGTTTTTTTTTTTAAAGCGATGGCCCATGACCATCTTCCCTTTTCCCATTTTCATAGGGGGTTCTATACAGATTCCAAGATTCCCCGATGATGGGTCATATCCCATATCAAACCATGTAACTTCAGCACAGGCAAGGGAGAACGTCGAAGTCCTGCGAAGGTGCCAAGCCACGCATAAATCAACCATCAACAACATGTGGTGGAGAGTTACCTTACATGAAAAGATGTCAATGTTAATACACACCTTACATGCTGTGGAGATCTTATCTCAAAGGTGGGGACGCGATTTGATTTCTTTAGCAACACCTTTGAGAACTTTCAGAGATAAGACCTAGCTGCAGGTTTTGAAGATAGTGATCGCATCCACCAAATGGTCTTCCTCAAAATGTTGGACACGCTGTTTTGAAGCAGTGCAATGGCGGTCATGCCACGTTTTCAGGTCTTTTTTTTCCCTGGATCACCCATTGCCATGTTCCTCGGCAGCTTATATTGTTGATAGGCTAGCCGTTATTCTTGATGTCGATTCAAAATTAAATACATGGTATCAGAACAGGGTCTGTTGGTCTTCCACCATCACCTGCAGTTCGTTCCTGCTCGCGGTGGTGGCGAATGGGGCAGCTCCGGCAAGTTTGAACTTGGGACTAGTCAGTGGAGGGCACCCCCCAAACGACAGACAACTCCATATCCCCATTGAGAAAAGTAAGAGGTTTGTCCCCCGCTCACATTGCATTTTAGTAAGGTAAATGGTGCTTAACCAGTGGATTTAGGGTACACCCTATTCGCCCTATTCTCAGATACCCACGTTTCTAGCGACTAACTTGCTTGGTCTTAGGTTGAGGGACATGATAGCCAATGACGAGCAAAGGAAAGGATGGTGTCGCGCAAAAGAATTTGTGAAATAGACCAGGCTCACCTCCCAGAAAGTGAATGCCACCCAGTCAGTCAAATCATCCATCATTCCTGGAGTTTGTGTTGGCTGCAACCGTTGGGATCCACTAATCCCAACAAACAAAGTAACTTTGGAAAATGATGGGCCCCTGGCACTTGTCCCCAACTGGTGAATGACCATGGTTTTTGAGTTTGGGGATGTTTGGGGCAAGCCCATTTCTTCCAGGAAAGAAGATGAGGCAGGCCCAGCAAGCTGCCATCAAGGATGAAAAGACCAAGAGAGAGGCAGCGTAGGGAGGTCATGAGTCATGGTCATGGGAGCTCATCAATCAAGACTCAATTTGCGGATTCAGTTTAGATTTCAGAAAAATTCACGTGCAATAAAAAGGAACTGGATTGGTCCAAACATAGGGTACTCGGGTACTCCAAAATCCAAGACTTGATCATGGTTTATCATCCTTTGAAACCGCAATGTTGTTTTTCTTTTTTTTCCCGCTATATACGTGAATCTGAATCCCGTGAGGTGGACTACTTCTGGCAACAGCAGGAGTATTTTAGCGGTGGCGTGCGGGTTCCCGGAGATGGGTGCTCGTGGCTCGCTATTTTTGTAGGCAATTTTCTAAGGATTCTGGGATTCCAACTTTTGAGACAGGTATTATATAAAATATATGCTTCCTGCTTTGAAGAAATTAGGTAACCTAAGGACCAAGAGATATATACCAAGAGATATCACTTGAAGTCAGGCGTAAGGGTACACTTGCGGGGGATGCGGTTTATAGACCCTGAAGATCTTGTGGGTGTACCTCTGAGTAAGCACTTAGCAACCATGCCGAATAGTCCTTGCAGAGTGTAACTATAAATAGTAGCCATAGCAACCTCCCAAAATAACATAGAAACTATGGAAAAGTCAAATCCACCCAATAAAGGATACTTTAACTTTTCCATTTTTATTGGATTTTTGATTAAAAACAGGTCACAAAGATCACACCACACCAATGGTGCCAGGGCAAGGGCCGCAAGGGCAAAGGCTCTCAGGCGTGGTCGAAAACATGGCGTTGATGTGAAAAGACTTGCGATGTTTAGTGGTGTGACTAGTGATTTTTCATGATCAATATGATCAGCATCATTTTCGTGATTTGTGACTAGTGATATCTAGTGATATCTAGTGATTAAAATCTGCAAAAAAACTGATGACTTCACGTTTTTATCCATCCCTATCTGTTTTTTTTCGTTGTGAATCTTCCGTACCTGGGATATGGGAGGATTTTCTAGACAGGGCGCCTTGGTCCACAAAAATCGGCCGACAAAAAGGCATAAAAACTGGGATTAAACATACACAACTATGATATATACCCAGTTTTCTGTGAATCTCTCTTGGATTTGCGTTTGTTTTCTTCATGGGGAAATGGAGATTAGATTTGGTTTACTCAGATGGAGTGGCCATGGTCAAGTGAGTTTGTGGCTGCGTTTGTTTGTCAAGACTGAACAATTTTGTTTCGCAGTTCAGATTGGTGGTGCCGTGTAGCTATGGTTTCCAAATTATGGTTTATCTCGATTTGGGACGGTAAGAATATGTATAATACCAAATTTTGACGATCTTATCCATATTTCTATCCAAACAGATCAAATAATGTTGAACTAATTTATGCATATTTGTCCAATCGGTTTTGAGATGGTTTTCCAATATCCAACCCACCTGACCAGTCGATTCAGGACAGCGAGCGGTCCCTTTTTGGAGCCCAGAGGGAGAATGTGGGGATCGACTTTGACAAGCAGATTCCTCAGATGGGGAAGCTGAGTGTTTTTTTTCGTTGATCAACTCCGATGATGAGTACGAGAAAGGGATTTACTGTTGGTAACATGTAGTAAGTAGGTAAAACATGCGGACATGGTGACATGGCATGATCGAGAAACTCTGATCCTTGAACAGGCTGACGCATTTTGCGGGGGTATTTGCTGTGAACAGGCTGACTATTCCATTGAAAATCAGTGGCGAATGGACCGAGTCACTGACCATATCTCCCAAAATTGGATGGAAACATCTGCGGTGTAAAGTGTCAACCAATGAATCTGCCATGCCAGAGCGCATCCGAATTTTTATAGGTCAATGATGACATGATATTCTTGTTCTATTTGCACATAGGTTTCCCACTTCAGGCCATAAAATAGCCGCCACCGCCCTTAAAAAGGTACGACGATATCCCCGTTGACCTCTCTGGAGATGGGGTTCGGAGACACAGATTGCCGCAGGAGATTGGTTTGTTGCGAAGAAATGGCCTTCAATGAAGTCAGAATTGAGTGAAGCATGGTTTAAAGGTGATAGACAGTGACAGATTGCAATTTTTGGGGCTTGGATACTGAGCCACGCCATGAAAAAAATAGCTGTTTGTTCCAGCTTCAGTGTTTTTATTTGGAGATTGGGAATCCTCTTGGCCTGCTTTCCTTGCTTCCTGGTAGATGACAGGGGCCTTGAGAGCGGTTAAGTGTTTTTGATTCTCCGTCCTGGAATGGCCATGAATGGCATAGGCCCGGCATACCCAAATTTCTTGCAGGGTTTGGTTGAAAGTTGGGGTACGCAGCTTCTTCACTTTATACGAAATTGAGCCTTTCACGGAGTGCTTTCAGCCATTCCTAACTCTTCCATGCCTGGGAGGTGGGTATGTCAAGAATAGGGATACCCCAAAACAGCCAGGATATCCCCATGATTTTACCCGGGGAAAAGCTTGGTTCGGATTGTGAAGGCTGTTTTTGTGGCTAGAATTGCGTCGTTGGGGATGGTTCATTAGTGGTCTACCATACTTGGATCACCCCAAAGTGTTGTGAGGTTGACTATGTCTTATATATGGGACAACCCCAGTAACTGATACATAACCCTGGTTCATAGTGGCTTACTCCACAATAAAAAATGGCTTATTTATTCATACTCCACATGTAAATGGTGTGCGAATCTATGGTTACTAAGCCACAGGCTGACCGCATCGGTGCCCTCGAAAGCTTCGACGAACTCTGGGACCCGCTTTTTCGCAGATGGAAAGCCATGGTTGGTTGAAAGCATTGCCAAATGGTGGAGTAGTCGAGGAAAGCGGACTTACTATGTTTTTGCCCAGATACGGATATTTGAGATATGGACTGATATGGATATTAATCAAGGCGGCAAGAAAATTAATGGACGCTAAGACGCTAATATTCGAAGCATCTTTGTTTGACCAGTGGGAACCCTCGAGGCGATTTTCGGTGAAATCAGTTTCCGAATTTCTCGACCCTTGCAGAGCTCGGCCCGGGCCGAGGGAAATTTTGTGATCCAGAAATGGCTTAAATTCTCCATCGATTCTGTGGAAATCTACATCCATGCCCGATGGAGATATCGACAAGAAAATAGTGGCGAGTGGTTTCCCAAGTGCCGTGGCGGTGCAGGATCGCTACCACATCCATGACTTCCTTTGGGAGAACTTAGAACGCTGCCACTACAAGAGGCCACGGACCTGGCAAGTGCGGGGAGCACAAAATGAGATTTCAGCACCAGTGAATGGGGATGTAACTTACAATGTAACCACGATTGTGTTGGGAGCTGGTGTGGCCTCATTGTAGTTACTATTGATGCTCGTGAAAATATTTGAAAACATCCCGAAACATCCCTGAAACTACCAATCAGTCATGGTTGACTCGTTGACCTAGCTCTGCGTTTTTGAATACTTTGAATTGGCAGTTCTCGCAGATTCACTTGCTTTCTTGGCTGGTGTCTCCATTTGAATCTGATGAGAGGACTTGAGGACTTCCCTTTCTGTTGGATCCACAGCAATGACGATCAACTACACATTTTGGGCCAAGAGAATATCTATCTTAAAATTCCTCCTACATATGAAATGAACACACCACAGCCAATTTTGGAGTCACATCTGTTGGGAGATTCCGAGTTTCAAGGTAGGTTGGATTCGCCATCGGTTTAGCGGCATCCCATTGGAATAAACCAACCCGATTGATCCCTTTATAAGTCTTTATAATTTTAACACAATTTTCGCACATCATATGTCCCCAAAAAGCACTTGGGGTCAGGTTTTTTTTTGCTTTCCATTCAACATCCCAAAACTGCCATCACTAAACCCGGCATTGTTAGCGGGATGTGAACCCCATAGATTCACCGTCACTTTCCATAGATCATCCATTTGGGTATCCTGGTATCCTCAAGTCATGACGTCACTGGAATAATGATTGGTAAGGGGAATCAAAACCCCAAAGGGCATTAGGACATAGATGGAAATAGCTATTTTTCAGTTGAGTGAATAATTTTAATTCAGCCAGATATGTGGGTCATTGTGGGTCACTATCGACACCCCAAGAACAGATGGTTTCTGTCATCAAGTTCACTACAAAAAATGACCAGCAATTGTCCAAAGGTATCAATTTTTGATCCAATCACCAGATTTCTGGAGTTTGGTGAAGGACTTGATAGCGAAATTTTTTAGGTGGGCCCGATGACAAGAAGTCATGGGCTCGTTTTTATCCCATTGTATGCTCGTTTTTACCACTCAAAATTTCCGTTATAGTTATATATATATATATTATAGATATATGTTTGTTTTCTATCATATTCTCAGGTTCTAATAGTTTTAACAGCCACAAATTGGGTAACTCCGAAAATGGGGTAACTCCCCTCCGGCAAGGTAGGCGTCATTTTCCCTATGCCAGGCCCACCCCCATCCAGCGCTTTGCCATCCCCGTGGCCCTTGCGGGCTACGACGCCATGTGCTGCGCGCAGACTGGCTCAGGCGGCCGCGTTGCATGGAGAATTTCCGACCCATAGCGGTGGACAATGGCCCATTTATGGATAATTTATGGTGATTTACTGATGAAAATGGTTGATTTTCCATAGCAAATGGTTGAAGTACCGGCAAGATTTGATTTTTTTTGGCTTAAAGATGTTCAGGCTCAGAAGAAAATGAAGAACCATCGAGAAAGTGAGGAATTCACCAAGCTGGATGGGTGGAGAGAAGATTCTTGAAGAATTGAAGGTGAACATCCCAAAAGTTGATTGTGCACCTAATCGCTTGACCCGAAACTTTGAAAAAAACGGGATCATCATTTCTCATGCTATCCCCAAACTCAGACTCCCGTGTTTTCAAGTGTGATATCCGAAACAAGTATCTCCATGATTCTCCTCCCTAAACTTTTCTGGGATCCAAGCAGCATGAGCCACAGGAAAGACCTGTGCATTTCTTCTGCCCATCATCTCATCTTTGGACACTGCGCAGGCGAGATCTTCCTTCCATGAACCGAACAATTGCCATGTCCAAGTGTGGAACATCGTTCAGTTGACCTTGTAGATGCTGAATTTTTGTGGTGTCCGCAATCTCGAAATCTCATGAAAAGACCACATCAGCCGTGGTATATTGCCGGATAGCCCCCTTACCATATCCAAAGATACCAAAACCTGCCTTTGGTCGGCGGCTGGTCGAGGCTTTTAGCGTCATCGGCTGCGACTATGGAGAGATGTCTGCACCGCGCGCGAGAAGCCGAGAGGAGAAAGGACGAGCCACTGGAGATTTCACCAGCATATTGGGCAACGACCAGTCCCTCGATCCCTGAATAAAAGTAGCTGGCTATATCTGGCTATACTATTTGTATCAATTTTCTGTGGCTTTGACCTAGCCACAATTTTCTGGGAATATCATCAGCTTGTGGTTCTTCACCTGCCTGACTTCCCAGTGATCTCAAGTCTATGGCCTCTCCAGAATATCCAGCGGCTGCGGTCATTTCTGATTTATTTTACCAGGCAGTGGCAGGTCTGTTTGGTTGAATGAACATGCTTACAATGTAGTGCCTTGAGCCCGATGATATCACGAGGAGTTGATGGGGATTTCCGTTCATGAGGGGCCTAATATGTAACATTGTCAACCCAAATTTAGAGGTTTGACAACCTCACAGGAACCCTGGGAATCCTGGGAACTTTGACAAAGCCTGGGAAGCCTCGATGTGAGGCCGTGGTTTTGGCTCCCACGCGCGAGCTGTGTTCTCAAATCCACTTGGAGGTCCAACGTGGTCCAACGGAAAGCCCAAAGGAACCGTCGGGTTTAAAGCCCGAGTTGTTTGGTGCTAGGGGTTATATTTCCATCGTGCGTTCGTTGTATTTAGTTACATTATATAGATTTATATAGGTCATAGAAGTTATAACCCTGTGTATGTATATATATATGTATATAATAGAACCCATATATTATTGTTTACACACAATATATAACCATATTATTATTATATATAGTTTATATGACCCACTATTTGTTTGGAATTCCCCATGGAAATCCGCTCGGTGGGAATTCGCCAAAACACCAGGCGAAGAAGCTGTCCTTTCAGTCCCCGGTGCGGCATCTGATGGGGATCCGCCTTCGGGCACCTCTTGGGGACATTGTTTTATGGAACATTAAATATGGCACCTAGTCATGAAACAGCTTATGCATGGCACCTAATCATCTAATCATGATTGATAATGAAGTTTTATATGAATCAGATCATGAATGGCACCTAATCATGATTGATAATGAAGTTTTTTTTGTAAATCAGATCATGAATGGCACCTAATCATGATTGATAATGAAGTTTTTTATGAATCAGATCATTGAATCATGATTGATAGTCCTATTTATGGAAGATTAAATCTCATACGACTTAAACCACCATAAAACGGAATGGAACGTCATCGGTTTCGTTCCGTTTATTTGGGTTATGACGACCTCGACACGGCACCAATTGGAGGTTTGTGGCATTGGGTTTACCACAGAATCTTACCACATTTTAGATCAAAAGCTTGGTGAACCCATGCTGTTCACACCAAAATAGACTGTAGTCATAGATGTTCAACCCCCCACTCCAAATATGGGTATTGTTCCGGACTCTCTTTGTCAATGTGTAGTGTATTTTATTCATTAGTGACGTATTTCCCCATCCAAAGCATGGCGTGACACCTGGATGGCCCCTGACAGACCCAGCATGGCTTCGGATTTTATTCAAGATGTCACCCAACCTGGTGATGAACACAGAGTGTGCCATGGAAAACGTACTCCCTCCGCAGTTCTGGAGCCAAAATTCAGGAATTGATCCCAAAAAGCTACACGAAAAGAAACTGCTGGTGGGTTGGTGGAATTGATCCCCAAACTGCTGGTTATTTGTTATTTTCAAACCATAGAAATGGGAGATCCCCAATGGTTTTTGAAGATTTTTTTGCCGCGCAAACGCGCAGGGTCGAAAGAAACGGTGCTTTCACTTATCGTTGGTTGCATCTAAATGGGTAGGTCAAAGAAATTGGTACCCCCGAATATCCAGAATTATCTTAATGAATAGATCCAATACTGAACAACAGACGGGTAGAGGAACTTGATTGAGTAATTAGTTCCAAATTTACATAGTTGGGTAACTCGGTTGGGTATATATATATGCATCTATAAGTTAGGTGGGAAACAAACGGGTATATAAAGTCAACAACACATGGGATCTATTATTTTTGTTGATACTTGTTTGGCACAGCATTACGGGGTCATGATTAGATCATTCATGGAATCTATTAATAGTATAATAGATCAAATATATATATATAATTATTAACCATTATAAGATCTACAAATATTGCAGGTGAATGATCTACGAAGATGAAAATTACATCATGGTTTACTTCATGGTTTTACCACAAAAAACCATGGATTAATTGATACTATACCCCCAACAAAAATTTCCAGCTCGATGATCTCCAGATCCGAGCCGGAGAAGTCTACGGCGGCGTGGATGTTCCGGGACCCAATGGTCCCACCCACATGTCCCACACGCTGGGGATGAGCTGATGACCTGGTTTTCACCGAAAAAAAATTGGAGGGTTGGAATCCATGGGAATCCCCTCCAGAAATCTGGTGCGGGTACAAAAAACCACAGTGATGAAAAAGCCCATTGAGAGATTTTCCGATTGAAAGCTCCATGAAACTGGAATTGTCCCATTGTCCCATGGCAAAGCCTCATGAGACAGCCCTCAAACAACAACAAAGCTGACGGCGAAGCGAGGCCAAACCACAGCTGTTGGACTTGGCGCGAGGCGGTTCCATGTATCTTGACCATGGCATGAATTTATGATAACAAATGGGCTAACGCCCTGGTGCCGCCGACCCCCTTTCAGGGGTGGAGGAAGGAAAGCACATGACCTTGACGGGAGTTCTAACCATCAATGGGAGTTGATGGCATTGGGTTGACCACATTGTAGCAATCCCCCAAGAGATATAATAGCGACATCTTAAAATATTGATTGGATTATGATTATGATACATTGTCAGACATTCTCCGTTGTTTGCAGGCTATAATGTTTTGCGACGTAAAAAAATACTTTACTTCGTGTGATCCCCACCATGACTTATAGATTTTCTTACTGGCAAATCTTCTGGCATTCTATCTGATATATCTTCTGGCATTCTATCTGGCATTCTATCTGGCATATCTGGCATATCTTCTGGCATTCTATCTGGCAAATCTTCTGGCATTCTATCTGGCATATCTGGCATTCTATCTGGCATATCTTCTGGCATTCTATCTGGCATTCTATCTGGCATATCTTCTGGCATATATTCTGACATATCTTCTGGCATTCTATCTGGCATTCTACCTGACATATCTTCTGGCATATGTTCTGACATATCTTCTGGCATTCTATCTGGCATTCTATCTGGCATATCTTCCGTCATTCTATTTGGCCGTTGAGGTCCAGCGGTGCACACTGAGCTGGGCAGGTCCCAGGTTGAGGTCCAGCGGTGCACACTGAGCTGGGAAGGTCCCAGGTTGAGGTCCAGCGGTGCACACCGGGCTGGGCAGGTCCCAGGTTGAGGTCCAGCGGTGCACACTGAGCTGGGACGGTCCCAGGTTGAGGTTCAGCGGTGCACACTGAGCTGGAGAGTTGGCAAAGAGCTTGGCGAAGAGACTTGGCAAAGAGCTTGGCGAAGAGTTGGAAAGGCGGAAGTGCAGGTGGAAGTTGATGCAGACATGGTCGAGGAGAAACTGGAGGAGGAGGAGGAGGCGAGGAGGAGGACGAGGAGGAAGAGGACAGCTAGTCGAGGAGGAGGAGGAGGACGAGGAGGAGGAGGATGAGGCGGAGGAAGAGCGCTCTGATAAAATCTAACAACCGTCACCTGGCAGGTGGGCAAAAATATATAGTGGAATTAAATGTGATGTTTCCATCACAACTGTTCCTCGATCTGCGAGGTGGTCCGAGCCCGCCATGTGAATAGCAACACAACTGGAACCGTAAAGTCCATTTCATTTGGGGGGTAGACTAGACAAAAAACAATATATATATATATATCAAAATATAGATGCTCAGGATTCAAAGATTGATTGCCAGTTCTTTTGCCGGTTGCTTCTGACCCCAGAAGCATGGAGCATAGATTCAAAGAAAAGATACAACCTTGCCTTCTTGCGACTGGACTCCTTGTAGGACAAACAAATATACACGTGCCATGTAGCAGTTTCGAAGCCCAATAGAAACAGTTTGAAGGGCCTATGGGGAGGTACGATGGCAAAGCAAGCGGAGGGTTGTGCGGTGCTGAGGCTTTCGAAAGCTGCTGCGGGACTTTTGAAGGTTTTAAGGCCTGGCCAAAACGTGCCATGTAGCAGTTTCGAAGCCCAATAGAAACAGTTTGTAGGGCCTATGGGGAGGTACGATGGCAAAGCAAGCGGAGGGTTGTGCGGTGCTGAGGCTGCCCAAAAGAAGGCCTGGCCAAAACGTGCCATGTAGCAGTTTCGAAGCCCAATAGAAACAGTTTGTAGGGCCTATGGGGAGGTACGATGGCAAAGCAAGCGGAGGGTTGTGCGGTGCTGAGGCTTTCGAAAGCTGCTGCGGGACTTTTGAAGGTTTTAAGGCCTGGCCAAAACGTGCCATGTAGCAGTTTCGAAGCCCAATAGAAACAGTTTGTAGGGCCTATGGGGAGGTACGATGGCAAAGCAAGCGGAGGGTTGTGCGGTGCTGAGGCTTTCGAAAGCTGCTGCGGGACTTTTGAAGGTTTTAAGGCCTGGCCAAAACGTGCCATGTAGCAGTTTCGAAGCCCAATAGAAACAGTTTGTAGGGCCTATGGGGAGGTACGATGGCAAAGCAAGCGGAGGGTTGTGCGGTGCTGAGGCTTTCGAAAGCTGCTGCGGGACTTTTGAAGGTTTTAAGGCCTGGCCAAAACGTGCCATGTAGCAGTTTCGAAGCCCAATAGAAACAGTTTGTAGGGCCTATGGGGAGGTACGATGGCAAAGCAAGCGGAGGGTTGTGCGGTGCTGAGGCTTTCGAAAGCTGCTGCGGGACTTTTGAAGGTTTTAAGGCCTGGCCAAGACGTGCCATGTAGCAGTTTCGAAGCCCAATAGAAACAGTTTGTAGGGCCTATGGGGAGGTACGATGGCAAAGCAAGCGGAGGGTTGTGCGGTGCTGAGGCTTTCGAAAGCTGCTGCGGGACTTTTGAAGGTTTTGAGGCCTGGCCAAAACGTGCCATGTAGCAGTTTCGAGCCCAATAGAAACAGTTTGAAGGGCCTATGGGGAGGTACGATGGCAAAGCAGAGGGTTGTCGGTGAGGCCTGGCCTTTAAAACGTGCCATGTAGCAGTTTCGAAGCCCTTTTGAAGTTTAAGGCCTGGCCAAAAGCCATGTAGCCTATGGGGAGGTACGATGGCAAAGCAAGCGGAGGGTTGTGCGGTGCTGAGGCTTCCCAAAAGAAGGCCTGGCCAAAACGTGCCATGTAGCAGTTTCGAAGCCCAATAGAAACAGTTTGAAGGGCCTATGGGGAGGTACGATGGCAAAGCAGAGGGTTGTGCGGTGCTGAGGCTTTCGAAAGCTGCTGCGGGACTTTTGAAGGTTTTAAGGCCTGGCCCAAACGTGCCATGTAGCAGTTTCGAAGCCCAATAGAAACAGTTTGTAGGGCCTATGGGGAGGTACGATGGCAAAGCAAGCGGAGGGTTGTGCGGTGCTGAGGCTTTCGAAAGCTGCTGCGGGACTTTTGAGGGTTTTAAGGCCTGGCCAAAGCGTGCCATGTAGCAGTTTCGAAGCCCAATAGAAACAGTTTGAAGGGCTTATGGGGAGGTACGATGGCAAAGCAAGCGGAGGGTTGTGCGGTGCTGAGGCTTTCGAAAGCTGCTGCGGGACTTTTGAAGGTTTTAAGGCCTGGCCAAAACGTGCCATGTAGCAGTTTCGAAGCCCAATAGAAACAGTTTGAAGGGCCTATGGGGAGGTACGATGGCAAAGCAGAGGGTTGTGCGGTGCTGAGGCTTTCGAAAGCTGCTGCGGGACTTTTGAAGGTTTTAAGGCCTGGCCAAAACGTGCCATGTAGTAGTTTCGAAGCCCAATAGAAACAGTTTGTAGGGCCTCTAGGGAGGTACGATGGCAAAGCAAGCGGAGGGTTGTGCGGTGCTGAGGCTTTCGAAAGCTGCTGCGGGGCTTTTGGAGCTTTCTAGGCCTGGCCAAAACGTGCCATGTAGCAGTTTCGAAGCCCAATAGAAACAGTTTGTAGGGCCTATGGGGAGGTACGATGGCAAAGCAAGCGGAGGGTTGTGCGGTGCTGATTTTAAGGCCTGGCCAAAACGTGCCATGTAGCAGTTTCGAAGCCCAATAGAAACAGTTTGTAGGGCCTATGGGGAGGTACGATGGCAAAGCAAGCGGAGGGTTGCGCGGTGCTGAGGCTTTCGAAAGCTGCTGCGGGACTTTTGAAGGTTTTAAGGCCTGGCCAAAACGTGCCATGTAGCAGTTTCGAAGCCCAATAGAAACAGTTTGTAGGGCCTATGGGGAGGTACGATGGCAAAGCAGAGGTTGTGCGTGCTTGACTTCGAAAGCGGCTGCGGGACTGTTTGAAGCGTTTTAAAGCCTGCCAAGACGTGCAGGTAGCCAGTTTCGAAGCCCAATAGAAACAGTTTTTGTTAGGGCCGTATGGGAGGTTTACCGATGGCCAAAAGCAAAGCGGAGGGTTGTGCGGTGCTGAGGCTAACCAAAAAGAAAGGCCTGGCCAAAACGTGCCATGTAGCAGTTTCGAAGCCCCCAATAGAAACACTTTGTAGGGCCTATGGAGGTACGATGGCAAAGCAAGCGGAGGGTGCTGCGAGTGACTGAGGCTTCGAAAGCTGTGCGACCTTTTGAAGGTTTTAGCCTGCCAAAACGTGCCATGTAGCAGTTTCGAAGCCTTGTTAGGGCCCGATGGGGAGGTACGATGGCAAAGCAAGCGGAGGGTTGTGCGGTGCTGAGGCTTTCGAAAGCTGCTGCGGGACTTTTGAAGGTTTTAAGGCCTGGCCAAAACGTGCCATGTAGCAGTTTCGAAGCCCAATAGAAACAGTTTGTAGGGCCTATGGGGAGGTACGATGGCAAAGCAAGCGGAGGGTTGTGCGGTGCTGAGGCTTTCGGCTGCTGATTTTAAGGCCTGGCCAAAACGTGCCATGTAGCAGTTTCGAAGCCCAATAGAAACAGTTTGTAGGGCCTATGGGGAGGTACGATGGCAAAGCAAGCGGAGGGTTGCGCGGTGCTGAGGCTTTCGAAAGCTGCTGCGGGACTTTTGAAGGTTTTAAGGCCTGGCCAAAACGTGCCATGTAGCAGTTTCGAAGCCCAATAGAAACAGTTTGTAGGGCCTATGGGGAGGTACGATGGCAAAGCAAGCGGAGGGTTGCCATGGCAATGGTAAAGCCGGCACGAGCCATGCTGCACACCTACGGTGATCCCGGGCGCCGCCCCGCCTAGGCCAAGGCTAGGCAGGGGTCGGCGGATTTATGCAAGGTTAGCCAACCAAAATGGGATTGTGCCAAAAAGAACGGAGAATTGATTGTTGGTTTCAGCTATGTTTCGTGATCTTGGCGCACTTAGAATGGTTTCGGGTTTACGACATGTTGTTGTGCGATCTCAACCCTCCCTTGTCTCGCAAGGGGTGGATTTGGTGACGGCCACCCCAGGAGTGGTGGGGTGTTGCAGGGTTCTATTGGTCGTTTCAGCATGGTTCATGCGTTTCACCAACTGGACAAATGGGACATCAAATCATTTTTCAAGGCTGAGAAAAGTATATTTCACAGATCATTAGCCCCCTGATTCTTGTTGAGTACCATCTGGACCTTTGCAGTGGAAAAAAAACGCATTTACAGAGATGAATTTTCTCGCTGACCACGCCATTTTTCCATGGATTTCCCAGCACCCCGAGGACGACTGACGGATTTCATCGACCGCGGGGTGATCACCATGAGCAACGTGGGTTTCCTTGTGCTGGACGAGGTGAACGAGGGATTTCACCGATGTTGAACGGGTGCCCATTTGGGACATGTTCACCAAATACCTACACATATGTTAGGTGTTTTCATAGCAATTTGATGAGTTTCTGTTGGTGGGAAGTCTTTGTTGTTGGAAGCTTTTGGAGCATATAGCTGATGTAGAAGATGTAGAAGCGACTTACACTGAAGGAGCTCCAAGGAAAGTTGCATTGAATCCCGTAGCTGATCCAGTGCTCGAAGCACTCGAAGCGAGTCTCTTTGCACTGGCTCTTTTTGCTGCCGACGCAATGGCGTCCTGGTTCGCATCTTGGGAGACCTTGTTGAACAGATCTGCCCATCTGATATTGGCTGGGAACATCTCTGGGATTGGTCCACGGTTGATTCATTGCTCGACCCCAAAACATCCAGGATTGGAATCCTGCTAGCCCTAGTAACCAATCGACATGATCCATTTGCCTTCCAGAAACGGCTCGATTGCTAAACTTGGAAAAGATGACATTATGACACTGCAGGAAAAAGTCCCATCAAGGAATTGCCAAATCAAAACTTATCTCTTTCTACTGGTCATCTTGACTCATGTCTCATAATCTCCCACGAGTAATCAAAAGCAAGCTGGTACCATATTGTATGTCTCACTTGGTCTTGAGGGGTTCCTAGAATGAAGGTTCATATCATATTCGATACCAAATTGGGCATTGTAAAAGCAATTTAAGCATCTGCTCTTCCAACGGCTCATTCCTCGAAAGCATGTTGCAGAGGTGCAACTCTCCAGCTGTGGGTTGTCCATTGCATTAATCTGAATTTTGTTTGACAATTGATCCTGATATATCCTGATTATTTTTTGGTTCTCACTATTCCGGTAGTCATGGGCATGCAGCAAAATAAACTGACACTCCACATATATTATGAGATGTTTTTTGGTTGCAAAACAATTCTAGTATGTTGCATGCTTAGCATCAACCATCATTCTATCATTATGTCGTGCTGTATGATCTGGGGAAGCATTGGTCACCATTGGTCAAAGGGTAATCATGAATAAATGATCCATTTTTTGGGGTCCCCAAGTAATGGATCAACCAGGGCTGACCAATCCGGGGACTGGATCTTCATCCTAGAGATGTTCCCAGCTGCTTCAATCTCAGATGGGCAGATCTGTTCAACCAGGTCGCCGAAATGCGAACCAGGATGCCATTGCGTCGACGGCAAAAAGAGACTTGTGTCGAGTGTTTCGAGCACTGGATCGGCAGCGGGATTCAACACAAAAAAAATGCTTTGATCTCAGCGCAAAGCTGTACATCAGCTACATGCTCTAGATTGCTCTAGGATAGCTTCCAGCAACAAATACTTTCCAGCAGCAAAAACTCAGGAGGCGCTTTTTCAGTCTGTGCTGATGCTCCAAGCTTCCGTGGTTGACCCCATCATGTTGACAGAGCCAGGCTACACACAGGAACTTCAGCGCGTCTAGTTGTTTTTCGGACTTCGACGGGTGATATGTCTCAAAATCTGGAGGCATCGGGAAATAAAAATACGGGACCTTGCACGGTCTGATCATGCCACGAAGAGTATATAGATATGAGTCAAAAATGTGTGCTCCCAAAATGGATGATGAATTCCTGCGTTTTAGTGACATGTGGATCGATCGTTCTTCAGGATTTTTGACCCAGATCATACATCACAAGCCTCACAAGCGATCTCTCCAATCCGTGCAGCATGGCGTGTTCCTCGAAGCCAAATGACGTGAAATTCGCGAAATGCTCGGCGGGGACGCCACGTAAAAAGTGGCTCTTGTGAAATGTTGAGGTGCATTTCGACTCCGCAGGCTCGTACAAAGTGTGGTCCTAGGTCTTGGGATCGGTCCTCCTCCTCAACATCATCATCCCCCACATCATCATCTTCCTCCTCCTCAACATCATCATTCTCAACATCAACGCCTTCCTCTCCCTTGACATCATCATCCTCAACTTCATCATCCTCTACATCATCTTCCGCAACATCCTCCTCCTCCTCCTCCTCCACCTCATCTGTCGAAACATTACCATCCTTTTCATCATCCTCCTCAACATCATCATCCTCCACCTTTTCATCCTCATGGTCAACATCCTCCTTCTCCTCCTCCTCATCATCACCATCATCATCATCATCATCACCATCATTATGAATTATCATCATCATCATCATCATCATCATCATCATCATCATCATCATCATCCTCATCATCATCCTCATCCTGATCCTCATCCTCATCCTCATCCTTAACATCATCATCCTCACCATCAACATCCTCAACATCATCATCCTCGAACTCATCATCCTCGAACTCATCATCCTCCTGCACCTCATCATCCTCCTGCACCTCATCATCCTCAACGTCATCATCAGCATCATCGTCGTCATCATCATCATCGTCATCGTCGTCATCATCAACAGCAACAACAACATTATAATGCATTATCCTCCCACTCCCCCCACACTGTTTGGGGTCTCTTGCCGGGATAATTATTTTGTGTTCAGCCCTTGATCGTTCAACATAAATCCAAGAAGAAATCCACTTGCGCATGGTTCACATTGTAAGCACCCGGTTTTGGTTCAAGTACACTGGATTTAGCATGGTTCCCTGGTTGAAAATCTGGTGGCCCACGGGCGCCACAACCTCACAAGCGACCTCTCCAATCCGTGCAGCATGGCGTGTTCCTCGAACCACATGCCGCGAAATGTTTTTTGTACCTGAATCTGGCTCGTGGTTCACCCACGTACCAAATTTTTAATGTGGTTTTGGTGCCTCAAATGTGGAACATTCACCAACTTTTACTGCAACAATCACCCAATTTTAGCTTAACCTGCCAAATACGCAACATATGAGAATATATTCAACTTTCCGTCTTATTTTGGAAGAGACGCCAAATTGATTAAGATTTTTGGGATGCGTTGAAACCACCAACCAGTGTAGCTCTTGGTATGTGCCAAAGGATTTCAACATCATGGCATGTTTTGGCAATGTCTGTGTAGACTTCGGTGTGATCTGGGTCAAAAAACCTGGAGACCGACCAGCCCACATGTCATTCAAATGCGGGAATTCCTCGTGACATGATCAGACCATCCCCGATCCTGCTGTGTAGCCTGGCTTTGTCATGGGGCCAACCACAGAAGCTTGGAGCATCAGCCCGGACTGAAAAAACGCCTCCTGAGTTTGAAGTTACCTAGATGGCAATGGAAAAAAAACACGTTTTGAACAGAACGCCACAATGTCTAAACTGTAAATTTCCAATTTCCACGTGAGATTGCTTGAGGGTAGTTGTCTTTAACCCGTAGGTGGAACCTGACCTAAGCCAGAAAATTATATATATATATATATGTAAATATATATATATATATAGATATATTTTCCATATTTTCTTTTGAAATTCTGAGTGCCGCATGCCTCTGCAAGTCATTGTATACATTGAATCGACATGCGCCAATTTTGGGGTACTCAGCGTCAGAGTCGCTTGAATGTTGCGAGCATCCCAATGTGACTTTTCCAGTGGTCACCCCCTCACACCAGTTCCAGCAGTTCCCAGGCCGATCGAATGTTGGACATGGGTTTTGAGCCGCAGATCCGAGAGATTGTGCAGAAGAGGGCCACTGGGCGGATCAGAAATCTGAGGCCAAGAGCTGGGACGCATAGAATGGTCATTTTTAGTGAATTATGCCAATTTTGGATGACTAATTCCCTAGCCAAAGATCTCTTTCAGATCCTGCCGAATTTGAAAATCAATGTGCCAGTTCCTCTTGGGACACAGTTCGGGGACTAAATTTGAATTCGCTTTGAAGTCTCATTTGGTTTCTATTTGGCCCACAAGGGTGTGATAAATGGGACTTCTTGGGGTAGACAAGAATTTGAGACTGTGTTGGTCATTTCAGGCAATGATCAGCGTTGAGTTTGAAAGGTGCCCCTAGCTGGGTGGCATTCACTTGGGCCGTGGATCAACCATTTTAAATTCACTGCCAGAAAAACTCAACTTCAGGACAAAAATTAGAACGGCAATTGGATGATATCATTTACCGTATCAAATTTTCAGATACTCGTCCAAGTAAAGCTGGGAACATTTCCTACGGGTCCCAGCAACGAGAGTTCCACAAACAACTCGCAGAATTTGATCATCGCGCTGCCAAGGACATGCCTTCCTCCCGAGAAGTGTGGTGCTGAAGTTGGGGGTTGGCCTCAAAATGTGACTATGTTGCGGCCACCAAATAGACGATATGGGGAAACCCAGTTGAGCATCAGGGAAATCCATTCCAATCTACTTGGGAGGTAGCTGTATGCATGCCAAGATTCCATATACATTTCGGGGCGTTTTGGACTGGGTCCTGAGTAGTTCTGCCTTTCGAAAGGGTCATTGTTCTGGATTTTTTTCTCCGCATTGGGAAGTGGCAGCTTGATTTCCCAAACAATGGGCTCCCGTCGATGTTGCTATGACCGTCACAGCATTTTGGTCATCAAATCGGAGCAAATCCATTCACATAAAAGTGAAAAAAGAACCTTCAACAATGCGATGGTCCAAGTATTTTGTATGAGTATATTTTGTATGGGTATATCGGTATATCCAACAAGAAAGAACCAAAAACGATCCAACAAAACCGGGCCAGATATGCCACAATAGAGATCATCGCCTATCGCCTGGAACCACGGAAGCCGCGCCTCAGGGACGGATGACCCTGATGTTTAGCGCCACCTTCCCCAAGGCGCTCCGCTGGGGCGAAGACAGAGCTGGATAAAATTTGAGTCCACCGGCCCACATCATATCAGATCAAATCAAATGTCATATAATATCATATAACATGGTCTGAAATATAATTATAATGGAATACGACATGGTGATGATATATGATGTATGATGTATGATGTATGATATATGATGTAGGATGTAGGATGTACGATGTGCGATGTATGAAATATGATATATGATTTATGATATATGATGTATGATGTATGATATATGATGTATGATGTATGATATATGACATATGATATATGATGTATGATGTATGATATATGATATATATTGATATATGATATATGATGTAAAATCAGATCATATCATCTGTTGGCATGGCGAAGGCAAATGATCGCACTGCTGAAAAAACAAGACATCCTTACTGAGTTCTCCTTTCTTTTGAATTCCTTGAGTGTGAACCAGAAGGGTCCTGCAGGTGGAAAACGCCCATGGTGAATTGTCGTCCATTGGCTGATGAAAGCTAGCAACTAGCATTATCGATGATAGGTGATGGCAGATGGCTGAACTACCAATTGATTGATGTAGCATTTTTTTCTCTGTGTTTTTTGTTTATACATATTGAACATGGGATAAATGGGGCATGTGTATATCATATGGAAAATCCACTCCAGTCCCCAAAAGGGGGTATTTTTTTCAGCACCAAACATGGATTCCGAAAATGGGTTGCGGGTTGGTCCCTGTTTTGCCATGTCTTGGCACCAAAAATAGAGGTGCTGGGAAGGTGCATCTATGGTGGCCATAGAAAACTTGGGTCTGACAGAAGGCTCATGTAACAGACCTCCAAATGGAATATTTTTTGGTAAGCAGAAATGGGTTTGTTTGGCAATGGGGAATATCCCAACAAGATACAATTCAAATAAGTAAAATGAGGTTTTAAACCAATGAATTTTGGGGTGCCTTCTTTTTAAACAGTCACACATGTGGCAAAAATAAGTTAACATCAAGTTTGGCAGGGAAAGAACAATGTCCATCTTCCTTCTTAGGGCAGTAGGGCAACCCTAGCCTTTTCCCTGTCATCTCCTAAAATGGTTTGTTAGTTCGTCATCGACCGTCAGGAGATTCAGAAGTTGGCCCAGGCCTTTATGAGGCCCTTCTTTCAGGGGGACCCCAAATCATCCCAGCTACTGATGATTCGGGACATCTTTAGTTTAGGAAACACCCAATTGTTGAGCTGGCAATCTTCGGATTAAGCCATCAATTTGGGATGGACACGCTGGCTGATTATTCGGAATGCTGCGGCAATTTTCCAGGGAATAGTACTGGGTAGCCACTTCAGGTACTCGTCTTATCATCTCGTCGAATTTCTGGGCACTATGTCACGGCTCAAAAAGGCTCAAACTTGATATGTATACAACCAACAAGAAAGGAGAGTGACAAGGGTGTATCTGAAAATGGGGTATACCCCCAAATGGCAACTTTACTAGATGAATCAATGGATGTCTGGGCACTGTATATATTTTAGACAAACCCACGATTGAATTGCTGAATCATGGGGGATGGACAATAAGAACGCTGGTAAAACAACCAATAACTCGCATATTCGGCATGGCTCGAAATTATTCACCCAAAACAAATCATGACATTCATCATTTTAGTGGTTCCGTTGGCACTTCATTTTTGAACATTCAGTCTCTCAGAGACATTCTTGGCGAGAAGCATTCAAAGTGTGCCAAGCACCTGGGCTAACGGTTTTGTTGGTATCCTAATTTTTCAGTATATTTTCCAATTCATCTGATTTTTTCCAGGTTTCCAAAAAAATCAATAGGCCCTATGGCTGTTGGTCAATATCTCCTACCTTTGACAGCAACTCCAGTTGCCAAAGTCTTGGGGCACCCGAAATAGATGCTGATGACACTTCAAGGGCCATTTTCACTGCTGCAAGTCACCTTTTCTTGTTTTATACAACTAGGTTTTTATTAGTTAAACACAATTTTGGTTGTTGGTTGACTCCCCAAATTTGTGTTGGTACCTCCTATAAATCTTATATTCTACTGATCTTCTTCCCTTCTTTTTATGGGCCAGGAACTACATTTGGATCGGTGTGGGGCGAGTTGGAGGTGCTGTTGATACTGCCTGGGGACCCAAAAAGGGCCACTGTTCCGAAGTCATTGGGCGTGTTGGGATCCATGTTATGTGTCCCAAAGATCACAGAGGGGACTGTACATGTGATATTCGCTACCATCCCCGTGTGAGGACGGTTGAGCCATATGATATAATCATGATAATCCCCAAATTTTGGATGGTTCTTCCAAATTCCATGGGTTTATAACCCCATTTTGGATGGTTATTCCAAGGGATCCCATTGGGGATGGCTTGAAGCCAATTGAATCAATGGCATCCCTAACTTTCCCCGCTCCCAGGTGGAGCAAAGCTTCATCGTGGTCTCGGAACGAGGCAAGACTTCTCAGTGGCGTGATATCCAGTTGTAGATGGTAAACATAGCAGTTCAATGCCCCCAACGGTTAGGGGTTACCCTCTGGTAAACTAACATAGCTATGGAAAATCACCATGCTATTAATGGGAAAATGCACTATAAATGGTGATTTTCCATAGTTATGTTAAATTACCAGAGGGTAGGGGTTATTTAGGATTGAGAAACTCAACAGTTGAATGAGTGTACTACCATTATATACTACCCCTAGGCATTAAAACCACCAGTGCTGAAATGTCCTGATTACAACTTCAGTTTGGATGAGACGTGACTGGACGCAGCTGGGGCTTGAGGCAAGTTTGAAGCGCTTACCAAGGCACACCGGAGGGAATTGGGACATCAATGGGGCATCAATTGGGGCTATTACCCTCTGGTAAACTAACATAACTATGGAAAATCACCATTTTTCATGGGAAAATCCACTATAAATGGTGATTTTCCATAGTTATGTGAGTTTACCAGAGGGTAATGGCTATTAATATGCCATTGATTCGACCAAAGTGCGCAGAAGCGCTAAATGCCATCACCCAACAACGAACAATTGGCTTGGCTAACTCCACCCTGCTGCGCATTTGAAATCAAACTGCAGTTTTTAATACCGGATCTAGTGACACAAGACTCAAGAAATAAACAACAGCATTTAGGTACCCTTGATTTGTATGTATATATATATATATATAATTACATATATATATATATACGTATACATATACGTATGTCTTAGTGTAGTTTAGTGTGGTTTTGAGTTCGCTCCGTTGGGAGCTCCACGATCACCAACCTGGCCTGTAAAGTTTGTACAATTGCCAGACGAAGTAATGAACGTTGCGAAGGAATAGCATGTCCGCACAGTCTCCGACTATCAGCGGTTGAATGAATGAAACATGGAGTAGTCACCAAGGTCCATCGGTGGCCAGGCTTTGACGCATCCCACCCCAAAAGCTGGAAGTTTCTGAAAAAAATAGGGGTCATATGCACAATACATGCAAAAAACAACGGTTATGATGGTTGTAAACGTTGTAAATGATTATGATATCTATATAGTTTCCATATGTTTCCATATGGAAGTTACAACCATTCACTCAATAACCATGAAAGTTTGCCGAGCTGCAGAATGACCAGAATGACAGGTGTTGAATAGCAACCCCACCGACTCGACCCTGATCTTCGTTGCAATGAAGCGCACAGCGGCATGGTTGGAGGATCTGATGGAAGCGACACGGTTTTTGCGCACAGGTTTGGAGCAAGAGATTCCAGGTTTATGTAAGATAATATGTGTGTACAATCATGTCATATAGAATATGAAAAATACATATATATATATATATATACACACATAAATGAAAAACTAGCTAAATAGATATACATGTAATTATATATATAATATACATGCATCGTACACGTAAATAAGTAAATAGACATGTGTAAACTCATGTATTCATGTATAGATAGACATTCGTAAATGGTCAGAATATACAGACAAGCTGTCATCCCCTTGCGCCTGCAGGATCGCTTGATGGGGATGGGCTACAATTCTGTGGCCATCCATGGCGACATGGAGCTCGATAGGGGGTGGAATATAGGTTGGATATTGATGAGACATAACCGACATGTGTTGGGTGTATCTGAGAATGGGGGATTTAGCCATTTAGCAAGCAATGAAAATGGCCAGTTGAATAGGGAAAGCGAGGTTGAAACCATGAAACTTGGGCGTTTTCCCAAGATTTTCAGACAAACTCATGACACAAACAGGTCCTGTACAACCTTTTGGCTTGCCAGGAGCAGAACGAAAGAGAAAGGTCGTTGTCAACCTTTAAGAGGCACCCTGGGGTGTGGTTGAGGTGCTTCTGAATATATTTGGGTGGCCAAGGATTACTAGGTGCTACGAGTTTCAAAGATGTCCGCTGCATGTATCGTTATATAAAAACGATGCGTTCATATGCCATAATTCATCCATCTCATAGTCCATCCATGGTTCACCTCTTTGACTCAAGTCCATAGCCTTTTGCGTGCTTTGGCAGGTGCTGCCAAGCCTATTTGTCACGAAGACCAATTTGGTTGGTTTCCCCCCATCTCAATACATACGACATAATACATCACAAACAAACACATGTACACATATACTTACATGTCTATGCAATTTGTCATAAAATCATATATATATATATACATACATATGCAGATTAAACAGCTATGCTACCAATGCTACCAACTATTTACATGAGTATAGTAACGTCAATCACACATATCATGTATTAAACATTTAGTATACATCCATTGCAAGAAGTGCTTGATGGGAAAAAATACAAGAAACCACCATATTTGGCTGCCAAAAAATGTGGCTTCCCGTGAACATCTTCCCAACTAAATCAATCCATTGATTACCACATTGTATCATATATCATATCCCCATAATTATGTGTATGACGTTGAGTATTGCACATTATGTTCCGATGATTTTATCATATTACATCTCCACAGAAGAACATGTATCCAGGTAACCCACTTAAAACCATGTTTTTGATCCAGATATCCAGATATCCAGATGTCCAGATATCCATCCAGATATCCATCCATCCATCCATCCATCCATCCATCCATCCATCCATCCATCCATCCATCCATCCATTAAAAAAACAAGCTAACTTCGCAAGACTGATATCCAACTGTTTTTGATAGATGTGTAACTATGATTATGGACGGATAAAAAAAAATACATATACACGGCAAATGTTTGGGCTTTGCCCGGAACCGCAACCACGACAGGCAACGCATCATCATCATCATCATCATCATCATCATCAAACCCTTAGTGAATATATTCAATGAATGTAGAAGTTTAACGGGGGTGGCAGAATTAAACCATTATTGAAGATTTTCAATGAACGTGGCAGTTTAACGGGGGTGGGAGAATTAAACCCTTATCGAAAACCTTCAATGAACGTAGAAGTTTAACGGGGGTGGGAGAATTAAACTTTCATCGAAGATCTTCAATGAATGTAGAAGTTTAACTGGGAGAATTAAACCCTTATTGAAGATTTTCAATGAATGTAGAAGTTTAACGGGGGTGGGAGAATTAAACCCTTATTGAAGATCTTCAATGAATGTAGAAGTTTAACGGGGTTGGGACTTTCATATTCCCTAATACCTTTGATGATCTTCCCAACTGAATGTAAAATTAAACGGGGGTGGGATTTTAATATTCCCTAATACCTTTGTTGATCTTCCCAATCGAATGTAGAGTTTAACGGGGTGGGATTTTAATATTCCCTAATACCTTTGTTGATCTTCCCAATTAAATGTAGAGTTTAACGGGGGTGGGATTTTAATATTCCCTAATACTTTTGTTGATCTTCCCAATGGAATGCAGAGTTGCAACAACATTTGATTGGCAATGGGGACCCTCTACGCTGCAACGCCTATCCATTAAATAATTTTGCATCCAGGCTTATAAAGCATTCCCAGCAATGATATGTAAATACATCCAGGTGACATAGTTTAGTATCATGAGCACTATCCATTTCCAAGATAATAACCCCATCCCTTTAAGATTAAACACAGCCCCACGGTATGTGTCCGTGTGATTTTCATCCCCAAAAAACCATGGTTTGACTGGGAGAGTGTTTTCGATAGATCTTGGTATTAGGGGGATGAACTAAAACTGTTTAGTCTTCATGATACTCATTTGTTGATCCAAGTTCCCTAGTCTCTTGAGTGAATGTCCATTGATACCAATCGATTGATAGTCCATAGTTAGAGAATGGTCTACATACAAATAGTCCATTGATAGTCAATGGGGATCATTTTCATGATACTACCCTCTGGTAAACAAACAGTTTGCTATTGAAAATGGGCATTTGGTTCGTTGATTTACCCATTAAAGATGGTATATAATCTGTTTAGTGCATTATAGTTGATTTACCCATGAAAAAAATAGGTAATCTGTTTAGTGCATGTCCAAATCATCCAACTAATCGAAATCCCATTGATCTACATCCGCCAGTGGCAAGAGCACCTTCCTGGTGGCCACTGACGTGGCGGCGCGCGGCTTAGACATCCCCAAGGTGCAGTGGATGACGTGGAAAAGTGGAGGGGAAAGCCTGGGAAACATGAGGAAAACACTGGAAGAATGGAAGAATTAGGAACATGTTCGAAGCAACTGGAAAAAAAATGAGGAACACCCGGAACACGAATTGTGAAACACGTCGGAAAACGGAAGGAATTGAAAGAAACTGGAAAATTGAGGGAACTCCCGGAAAAGAACATGGGGCATCCTGATGGTTTAGCTACAGAAAAGCTGGGGTAAATCGGTGTTGATCTAGAAAAGCTTGGATTTAAATGAACTTGTGAAATCACTATCTATCTACAATTAATTTGCAACATTTGCCGCGAAAAAACGTACTATCAGCCGACGAGACAAACACGTTAGAAAAATATTTTGAGTTGATCATCTACAGAAATTGGCTCTTCTACAAACACGATGGGTGAGCCCCAATCAACATATTCCAGTGGTTTTTGAAGCTGGGTGAACCCCAGGAACCATGGGATGTTTCACAACTGTATTTTTTGACTGTATTACCCGCAGAGTGACTTGGATTTATAACAACCTCACTGCTGAAGTGCTCCCTGGAAGTGGTCAGTATAACCATCCCCATGTTGGACATGTCATCCAAAAGCGAGATCGAGTATACCAAAACTTTTCAACATTGTACGCAAAATGGGATGGTCAAGTATTATATATATATAGATATGATATGAGTTACTGAAATAGAACAACACTTTCATTTGCGTGTGTTTTAGGTTCTTCAGTCTTGACCCATAAACATCAAGCCGCGGTGCTTTTTTTAAACCTGGCGCGCCAGGTTTCGCACGTCATCAACTACGACTTGCCCCACAACATTGACTCGTACGTTCATCGAATCGGCCGCCGGCTCGGAATTTTCGTGATTCGAGAAGGAAGGTTTCCCCCATTTCATCGATGGTCACCGACATGGAACCACCGTATTTTCAAAGCTGGCACCACGGATCCTTTGAGTTCAGCATCGGTCCTAACTGAGAAGACCATGATCATAGTCACCATGTTTGGTCTTTGTTTTCAGAGGGAGTCACACTTTGCTACCGCTTCCAAAGACTCCCAGATTTGGTGGGACAATTCACATGGAAAACCATGGGGAAAAGACGCTCGGTTTCGTCTCCGCGGTCTGAATTTTTGGCTTCCAGGGAACGGAGTTCCAGCCACCTCCCGGCGGTTTCACGAGCTGTCCATGGCAGAACCGCCGCCTCCAGATGTCGAGATGGAGGCGCTTCCGGGCTATTCTCGGCTGCCATGCAACCAGTGCCCTGGTCACGCTATTCACGACACCCAACAGCTGATGCTGAAAAACGTGGTTTAATATGGTTCATATAGGTTCATATATGGGGGATCATCCCATACTTTAGTGGGCTTATTTTTCTGAGGAATGATCGGATGTGGCCTATTTTATTTTGGTTTTGATGGTTGAAATTGATGGATTCTAGAAAGTAACCAATCAATATCTTGACAATCTCAAATTTGTTTCTGAGTTTTTCGTTCTTCTCAAGTTGAGGTGCCTCTTTTTCACGTCGGTCTTGGGATGTAAGAACGGAGACGCTTGCGCATTCTGCCACCATCAAGTGACAGAACAGCAGGCGGGACTGGCTTTTGGGCGGCCCAAGAATACCGCACGACGGAAGATCACTGCGCGGATCCAGCACTTGCTGAGGCAGTTGAATGCGGAGGCGCAACAGCCCAGCCATGTGGTACTGCAGCTCCAGCACCAGGCCATGCAGAATAGCTACTGGATTTCTTCATTGTTTTTTTTGGGTATATATTTTTGATTATTTTGACCTTGATGCTAATCCCACCAAAGAAATAGTTTGATCTATTCTTATTTTTTTCTCTTTGGGGGCATTGGTAAATCTACCATTTCAGGGTGATTGATTGTTTTAGGTTTGTCACACATTTTGTTGGGGGTCATCTGACAATCTTGTCTACAAACCTGAGGATACGCTCGTGCATTATGCCAAAATGGAGTGCATGAGGTAGTTCGTGAGGCTGAACGGCGGCAACGGGAGCGGTCAGAGGGACAGCTACAGCGGCAGGAGCCGCACGGGCAGAAACGAGCTGCACCGAATGGCGCAGGAAGGTGCGGAGCACTTTGCTGCTTCTCCCTGTGATAAAAACATCGTGTTGCTTTAAACTGCCAGGATGGCGGCAAACGAGTTCCTGGCGGAGGGTCCCGGCCTGCCAGGAAGAGTTTAGTAGAGAAGGTCTTATGCTTGGGCGTGGCTCTTGGTAGCTGTTGAATTACTCAGCAGCCGCCATGCAACCGGCATCGAGCTTAGATTTAAAAGGAATTCTTGCGGTTTACATGAAAGTTGGGTACCAAAAACATCCTGACAGCACTGGCTGCGGTCCGATACTTCATCCAAAGGGACGCATGAAACTGAAGTTCTGGCTTTGGGCATTTTTTGGTGAGAGTTCCAAGTTGGTCTGCTGTGGCATACTGTATCATCCAGAGAGCAGGCACCGCTGATCCTTTAAAAAGGCAGTCTGTCTATAACTATACATATACATAAATACAGAATAATACAGATATGTATATCGTGTATATAAGTAGCATGGAGAAACCCCAAATTTCCTGCTTAACATAATTTTCCGTCCTAAAAAATTGCCAATGGGGGCTCCTCCATAAGCCTCTTAGATCGTCAAAAGATGTCTGAATCGAGACCTCAACGCAAGACCATTTTTAGCGGTTCCGGAAGCTGAGTTGGTTTACATATAACATTTGTTTTAGTAGGTTAACTGGGGTTTATGGGTGCTAACTAGTTACAACATATTACAACTGTAGTTGGGTGGGTAAGGAAACCAGCAAACTCAAAACTAGGGGGAACCACCTCGTGTATCATGCTTGCAGCCATCGGACTCGTATAGTATACACAAGATACTCTGCGTGTCCATCCATCCATCCATCCGACCGACCGACCTACCTATGATATGCATATTATGCATATACACATACACACGCAGACAAGTGCACACACACACACATCGCTGTTCATCGACCTGTCTTTGGTTTCCGAGGCCGCACCGGGCGTATCGGAAACCACGGCTGGGCCACCAGCTTCTACGTCGTTTCGCTCAGGATGGCCATCGGACAGGATCATCCCACAGTCCATTCAAATCCACCCGGGTCAGTCATTTACAAACACGAGATCCAATGAATTCAATGGGATTAGCGGCAATTGGAGGTTTATGGCATTGGGTAACTGGGTAACGTCATGATTTTTTTTGGGAGAGCAGTCTGGCGGTAAACCAATTTGATACCAAAGGGATGATCATGGCGCGTGGCGCCAGTGTAGGGCCAATCATTTTAATCATTTTCAGCCAGGACTGCCATAAATTCACCGATGAAGCATGATTTTCCCCAATAAGATTGCCATAAATGATGGGTCTATCTCAAATTTTGCTGGTGAAAAGTCGTGGTTTTGTCCCTTTTCAAAATGCCATGAATTGCAACGCAGTTTGAGGTGCCCGCAGCAGATTCTCAGCACTCCAATGCCAATGTGGTGAAAGGCCCTGCGAACAAACTGACTGGTTTTAGCCAGGAAAAAAATGGTGGCTAAGAACAGCAAACATGAGGATTTCACCATGAAACTTTGACTGAAGCTATAGTTTTCCCATGGTGTGGTGTAAATTACATAATCTCTTAACATAGATATGGAAACCCATTGTTTTCCGAGTAAACTGATCTGGAAATGGTGGGTTTCCCATATTGTTTTGTTAATTATCTGGGGGGAAAAGTAATTGATAACAATCAAGCCTAAGAAATGGTGTTTTAAACACGAAGGGAAGCATCCCCAACGCTGGCTGAGCCTCCTACTGAAAAAATTGGATGGTTTTCTTCCAAGAGCCGCAGTGGTAAAGTCATCGCAACGGCAAATTCTTTCAACGTCATGGCAAAATCCTGACAAAACCACCACATCCTCATCACAAAATCATCAACATTACAACGCTCGAGTGAACTGTTTGTATTGACAATTCAGATTAATGTAAAATATATCGACAGCACACGCCAATGACAGAGACATTCAGTACCCGTATCATTGGAATCATTGGAAACAAAGGAGTCACCTAGAAACACGTCGTATTTGTCTATATCTTGTGTTTTTTTCGTCGTCAGATTGAGTCTTGTCCGCAAACAAAGTATGTATAACATGAGTCAATACGTTTCACGATAGATTACAGCTTAGTAACTTAGTAATTTTGAAATTGGCAAGCGCACATGCAAATTTCGACTTACATACATGTTCAAACTTGAAAGTCAGAAAAAAGTGAAGTTAAGTTGTCCCAAAAACAAATCACAGTGGTAGCCGAAACACATGTGGATTTCGTGAGGGTCGGTTACATATATATATATATACACAAATAGATACATACATAATCATCCCGTCGCACCGTTTTCCGTACGTGCGTTTTGCACAATTTCATTATCATCAGGTCCACTTCAAGTGTATTTCGTTTGTATTTCGTGTGGGAAAAATGAAGTAGTTTTGTGTAGCATGCACAAAATGATGTGGAATTTGGCTGGTGTTTTTGAAAAAAAACATATTTCGCTTGTGTTTTCATCCAATTTTGTCCGAGAATTATGTGAAATTTAACATCGTTTGGAATAGGCTCTGCCCGCATAACATGTGTCATCGCATCAAAATGGGAAAGACAGAACGTGGCCTGCGTGGTATATTCATCATCATTTTTGTCCAACAATTGTCGAAATCAGTGCGCATTTAGAGTGGTTTTACTTTTTTTTTCCTTCTCGCTGTGGTGCCGTACAAGTTTTTTTTGAAAATGTTGTTTTCCCAATGACACCTATCAGAACACAGACTGCGCACTTTGTTTTCTTCTTCACTTTCGAAGCAAGTTGAGCTGGTGGATTGTCTTCGTGCGAATTAGAGTGAGGCGATTGATATACCTCCATTGGAACGCGCGCAAGTAAACCTCAATCAATTCTGATTGGCTTCCTAGCTGTTTTGGAATGAATGCTTTGCACCCATCAGCAGCGTAGCAACATGTAACGTAGTAAACGATCCCAGAGATCTCAGCAGCGTAGCAATGGATCATGTACGAAGTACAAGGTACGTGAACATCCCCCACCCCCCCCACCCCACCCCATCAGCAGCGTAGCAACATGTAACGTAGTAAACGATCCCAGAGATCTCAGCAGCGTAGCAATGGATCATGTACGAAGTACAAGGTACGTAACATCCCCCAACCCCCCACCCCACCCCATCAGCATCGTAGCAACATGTAACGTAGTAAACGATCCCAGAGATCTCAGCAGCGTAGCAATGGATCATGTACGAAGTACAAGGTACGTGAACATCCCCCACCCCCCCCACCCCACATCAGCAGTACGTGAACATCCCCCACCCCAGCGTAGCCACCCCACCCCATCAGCAGCGTAGCAACATGTAACGTAGTAAACGATCCCAGAGATCTCAGCAGCGTAGCAATGGATCATGTACGAAGTACAAGGTACGTGAACATCCCCCACCCCCCCACCCCACCCCATCACATACGTGAACATCCCCCACCCCCCCACCCCACCCCATCAGCAGCGTAGCAACATGTAACGTAGTAAACGATCCCAGAGATCTCAGCAGCGTAGCAATGAATCATGTACGAAGTACAAGGTACGTTAACCCCCCACCCCACCCCATCAGCAGCGTAGCAACATGTAACGTAGTAAACGTTCCCAGAGATCTCAGCAGCGTAGCAATGGATCATGTACGAAGTACAAGGTACGTTAACATCCCCCACCCCCCACCCCACCCCACCCCAACATAGCGATATTCAAAAATGTGCGTTTTACTCGTACGGTTTTCGGGGCGTAAGCATAATCATACACACATTCATAAAAGACAAAAGAAGACATACTTCGTTCTTACAATGTGGCTCCTGATGGCTCACCGCACTTAATTGTTTTCAGTTTGGTAGATTTTCAGTTTTTCAAAGCAATCCAGCCGGTGAAAATAGCGTAGCCCCAATTTGATGGTGTAAAATTGTTTTAAAGATCTCATTTTCATTCATTTTCCGTCATTTCCCCACATTTTCCACTTTTCCAGACCATGTTTCAGAGCCAAATGGTGGCAAAAATTCGCGCCCAACCTGCGCTCAGATTTGGTGGGCGTACTGGAGGGTGCCGGCCAACCAGTGCCCCAGGACCTTGAGATCTACCGATGAAAATTGGGGGAAACAGTTCACCCTTTTAGTTCATCTTTGGGTCACCAGAATTTTGCTAGGACTAATGAATCAGAAAAATGAACAGATCCAGATCCATGGATTTTCGTTCTCGGAAAAAATTGGTGTTGCATGTCTGGACAGAATATCTCTATGGCCCAGGGTTGGAAGGGTTTAAAGTTTAAAGAATCGGATGGCTCATCATTTTACTTGGTCAAGCTGCTGCGAGATCTAGGATGGCGGTCATGTTCCAGCTGAAGATTCAGACAGTCGTCCCTTCGTTTGTTTTCGAAATTCACTTTCAAAACTCTGTTGTGAAAAATTCTGAGATAGGGGACAGGATGGACAGGCATACGCACCGTCTCATAAACTCAATAGAAATTCATAGAATATCTGGTTGGTGGTTTAGAACATTTTTTATTTTCCCATATATTGGGAATAATCATCCCAACTGACTTTCATATTTTTCAGAGGGGCAGGTATACCACCAATCAGATATATAGCTTGACACCCCCACAACAAGCTGTGTGCCTCTCTGTGCCTCCGGAAATCCATCCCGGTACCGTTAGGAACTCCAAGATGAGGCCTTCCGACAGGTGCCATGACGTAAACGTCACGCATTGAACCGGCGCCAGAGTTCAAACCCCAGTGGGGTTTGAAAGGCTCCAAAAATTTCCACCGGTCTATCAGTCTATCACGGTTTTTTTCCATATTTTTCGATATGTTTCCAGATTTGTCCTACTAAATTGCCATTGAAATTGGGTTCAGACCCCTTTTTCAGACCTTGCTCAGGGCTACAAGCGCGCCGAACGCCGGGGCAAAGGCGGCGGCGAACGTCTCTACTGGCCTGTTTTTTTAATTGTGGCTACCCGCGGAGGGCCCAACGAGAACTGGATGTACCATAACTGGATCCATGTTTTGGGGTTGATGGATCCAGATAAAAAAGAGCTCCTCAAAATCGCCCTGGAACGATATACTGTATGGTGCCTTTATTTTTGCACAAAGTAATAAATTGAATGTGTCATTTTGGAAAGGGAAACCACTCGTGGAGTTTGGAGGTGGTACCACAATTTTCGATGGCTTGAGTTTTGCGAGGGAATCAGTCGACATGAAGACACCAGTTTGCTCAACATCAGTGTTTGTTCGACTGATGTCCAGCGTAAGGATGCTTGCGATGTCGTAATCAGCATTTCATGTATTTCATTTGATCCGATATGGTTTCGGAGGTTCCAGCATGCACCAGAAATCCTGGTTTGGTCTCGGATCTATGGAAAATTTTGGGAAACTTATGGGTATCAAGCATATCTTTCAGGGAAGGGACTATCTTCGATTCTTCCTCCCCAGATGAGAGGCAATACGCCAAGTTGGAACGGGAATGAACGGGATATCTTTGACACTGGAGGATACTGGAGGGACAATCTACCATCCACATAAAATGCTAGGGATTTTAAGGGCCGCCTTCAACTGTAAAACCGCACTTTCAACAAGCTTTCATCGAACTTGTTGATTTATTCATAATAATAACAACATGATACTGAAATGAGAATAATAATAGTAATACTTATAATTATACTAATGACAATAACAATAAAATAACAATAACAATAATATCATAACTATAACTAATAGTAAGAGTAAGATTGACAATAATAGTAGGAACAACAATATCAAATATCAATGATAATGATAGGAGTGCCAGTACTGGTACCACTACCATTATCAGTACCAGGAACAGTTTTAGCAACAGCAAGAGGAACAGTAACAGCACCACCACCACCACCGCCACCACCACCACCAACAACAACATCATCATCATCATCATCATCGTCATCATCTGGTTTGTTGAATTTTTCATATCCAAAGTATCAAAAGAATCGGAAACCGCAAGTAGATTGACCCAGGTCCTGATGCCAAAGCTCCGGTGGATTTTGGCTCAGGGACGGCATGCGTCGACGTCATAGCGTCGGGGCGTGCCATGGGCAGCGTGCCGGTGGTCTCGGCATGCTGCTGCAGTGCCAAGGACGGCCTCGCGGTGGGCGCCGCTGGAGGCGGCTTTGGATTGGGGGAAATCCAGGAGGAATGTTGGGTGTGGATAAAACGATAAACCATCCCCCAAATCAATAGGTGCTATTGACCCTCCCCTTAAATGGTATTGTACAACAGAACGGTGATGATTTTAGGGCCATGATTCATGGGCAAATCGGTTCCTTGAGGACATGGTAAAAACGCCATGAGGACACCAGCCTTTGGGTGATCCCAGTCGTGATGAGTGTTGGGCCGGAGATAGTCTTGGAAACGGGCATCGATTGGCATGATCAAAAGAGGTCATTTGGGTTCCAAACAATCCTCAATATAGTTTTGCATTCTGAATCTCCAAGTTTTAGGCCGATGAAAAGTTGTCACGGTTTTTCAGGCTACTTCCTGAAAATCATGAATGAGAGCACAGAGGAAGACTTCTCAAATCCCAGCGCCCACAAAGATACCTGATTTCAAGTTGTAAGGATCCTTAAGATCTTCTTCCCAACACCTGACAATGCCAAAAAGGATGCCAAAAAGGATGCCAAAATTGGAAAATGGATGATAATCCTTTGGAATAGTCTTTCCCCCATTTTCAGACAAACTCACATGGTTTTACCACATTTTACCTGTTTGATTCGTCAGGTGCAGAGAAGCACTCGGCCTTTGGAGATGTAGTCCGAGATGATGGTGGGCTCCCACCCAGCCAGAAGAAGTATCAGATCTCGATCCAAAAGAAAGTGCCTCGGTTGTACGGGGACATGGGAGACAGCATCAAATGTATAGATCAAAATAGATCAAATAGATCAAAAAGCTGGCTAAATGGAGCTCCATCCCCCCTGCATCTGTTTTTAAAATAGCAGGGTTTGGGCCAATCTCCAGATCTAGGTCATTCACCGACCCAACTTTGGGTATGAGGATCAACTGTGGATATTTACAGTAATCGAAATTGCAGCAAATATAGTGTTGTAGGTTGTCATCCCTCATACGGTAAAATTGATGTAAACTGTAGGTCTTGACCCATGTTAGCCCATGTTTCAATATACCATAGTATTTCAATTCGAAAGCCAGGGCTCCCCGGTGACTTCCTGGGACTTCCTGGCGTGCCAGGATGCCAATGAGCAGCTTGGGATGGATGTGAAACATCGCTTGGGTCGACTGGTGGTCCTGGCCATTCACAGAGGTGCAGCAAAAATCATGGGACATCATCCCATCCCCAAAGTTTATGTGATAAGAATGGGTCTTCAATGATCAACGTATATAATGGCTATGTAATGGCTATATACATAAAGTATAATATATATAATATAATATAATATAATATAATATAAAATATAATATAATATAACATATATATATATACTGGGTATGTAATGGCTATGTAATGGCTATGTAATGGCTATGTAATGTGTATCTCACGGGGATTTCTAAAATTGTTTTTTTTGATGGATCATTATGGTGATATGATAAATGAACGTTTTGTTTGTCGTTTTATTTTTTATGGGAGATAACCAATAGATGATCCACTTAATCGGAAATCATCCCCAATTAACGGTAGAAATAATCGAATTCGAAGGACAACCAACTAGGTGGGGGGTTATCTTATAGTGGGGCATACACCAATGGCAATTTTCACCAGGAACATGGGGAAAATGATGATGAACCGGTGGTTTTAGTATGGGAAGGCCACGAAACTAGCATAGTCAATGGAAACATGACATGACAACTATACATGAAACTTCAGGGCACCCAATTTTGGAACAAACCATGGATTTTGTGATGATTTTTTTGTTTCGTCCCCAAAATGATGGTCCATAGAAGGGGAGAATTACGAAGTGACGTCTACAGAACTATGGGGATTTCCTAAATTTGGGGACCAAAAATCATCTTTTAACCCAGTGAAATGGGGCTTGGTGCAGCCTCAAGAAGCACAAATTGTGATCGAAGATTCAGCACAGCACATACCCATTTTCATATACCCATTATATACCCATCACATACCCATCATTGACCCATGGCAAGTTATGGAAAATTCATCAAGTATGTCATGCCAGATACCACCTTTCGAGACCGGTTATGCGGGGCAAAGCTGTTGTGGAAAGTCACAGTCTTCCTGCCATCTATATTTCTTTAAAAAAAACATCGGCTGGCTTTTGGAATCCCAAACAGGTTTCAACAGTCAAATGGTTATGGGTCAAAACCCACCTTTGTTCATCCATCCAAATTTATGTTAGTTATTGTAGGTATTACCCTTATATCACCATGAGATACCCCTATTCTCACAGAATGACAGCAAGCTGCTCATAGACTCCATGCTGCAGAATTGAAAAACACATCCCACTAAATTACTAAATATCACCATGAAATATCACCATGAGATATCACCATGTTTGTTGGGACATCCCCTACTTATCCCATGAACTCTTGAAACAATTATCCCATACTTATCATGAAACATCACCCTCAATCAGCATGAAAAAATCACACTAAATTTCAGGATTATCACCATGAAGTATGGGACTTTTACTTGTTAATCTCATGAAGTATAGATTTCATCCATGAATCTGGTGATTTTTTGTGATGGATGGTGATTTCCACCGTGAATTTTCATGACTTTATGACTTTCATCCCAGGAGGTGCGGTGGATCGCGCCAATGTGGTGGCGAACGACCAGGAACTGCCGGAGATGAAGGTCGCTAGGAAAAAGCTGGTTATGAACCAACTCATAGGAGGCACACCTGTTTATGCCAGCGGATCGAAAACCGTGCTCGTAAAACTGACGTTTTTGAGACCGTGCGAACGTGCGGTACTAACTTCTTGTTTTGTATGAACCATTTTCAACTTGGGCCATTAACGTCTTGTCTACGAAGAACTTCCAAGTACGTTGCTGCCAACTTCTCTAACCACTTGCGTGGGGTGGGGTGGGGTGGGCTACTAACGACTTGTCTACGAAGAACTTCCAAGTACGTTGCTGCCAACTTCTCTAACCACTTGCGTGGGGTGGGGTGGGGTGGTTAGCGTCTTGTCTACGAAGAACTTCCAAGCACGTTACTAACACAACTTGCAAGTAGGTTGTTATCTTCTTTTTCAAAATTCAACTACGTTGTTGGCTTTTGTAGCACAATTTGCAACTACGTTCTCATTATATTTTTTAAATTGCAACTACGTTGTTGGCTTTTCTAACACAACTTGCAACTACGTTGTTATCTTCTTTTTCAAACTGCAACTACATTGTTGGCTTTTGTAACACAACTTACAACTACGTTGTCATCTTCTTTTTAAAATTGCAACTACATTGTTGACTTTAAAAAAATTACTTTACTTCGTGTGATCCCCACCATGACATTTATACATTTTCTTACTGGCAAATCTTCTGGCATTCTATCTGACATATCTTCTGACATTCTATTTGGCATTCTATCTGGCATATCTTCTGGCATATCTGGCATATGGCATTCTATCTGGCATTCTATGGCATTCTATCTGGCATATCTTCTGGCATCTTCTGGCATTCTATCTGGCAAATCTTCTGGCATTCTATCTGGCATATCTTCTGGCATTCTATCTGGCATTCTATCTGGCATATCTTCTGGCATATATTCTGACATATCTTCTGGCATTCTATCTGACATATCTTCTGGCAAATATTCTGACATATCTTCTGGCATATCTTCTGGCATATCTTCTGGCATATCTTCTGACATATCTATCTGGCATATCTTCTGGCATATTTTCTGGCATTCTATCTGGCAAATCTTCTGGCATTCTATCTGGCATATCTTCTGGCATATCTATCTGGCATTCTATCTGGCATATCTTCTGGCATATATTCTGACATATCTTCTATCTATCTGGCATTCTATCTGGCATTCTATTTGGCATTCTATCTGGCATATCTTCTGGCATATCTTCTGACATTCTTTCTGACATGCTTTCTAACTTTCTTCTGCACATTCTTTGTCCCATATCTTCCTACATGAGGTCCGGCAGGGAACACTTGGCGTGGATACTCGCGGTTGAGGTCCGGCAGGGAACACTGGGCGTGGATGGTCGTGGTTGAGGTCCGGCAGGGAACACTGGGCGTGGATGGTCGTGGTTGAGGTCCGGCAGGGAACACTGGGCGTGGATGGCCGTGGTTGAGGTCCGGCAGGGAACACTGGGCGTGGATGGTCGTGGTTGAGGTCCGGCAGGGAACACTGGGCGTGGATGGTCGTGGTGAGGTCCGGCAGGGAACACTGGGCGTGGATGGTCGTGGTTGAGGTCCGACAGAGAACACTGTGGATCGCGGGTCGCAGTTGGACGAGGAGGACGACGAGGAGGACGACGAGGAGGACGACGAGGAGGACGACGAGGAGGAGGAGAGGAGAAGAGGAGAGGAGGAGCAGGCAACTGACATAAAATCTAACAACCCTCACCTGGCAGGTGGGGAACAACTTGCAACTACGTTATCATCTTCTTTTTGAAACTGCAAGCACGTTGTCATCCATTTACAACTAGGTTCTGGATGCTACGTTACTTACATTGTAAGCTCTTCCAACTAATGTAGTTGTTAAGAGCACGGTTTCGGTCTGTTTACAATGGAGGTATATAAACCTCAATGCCACCTTACAGAAGAAAACCATCGAAACTTAAAAAACGGTTATTTATCAAAGTCCACAAAAACCCTCCGATGAAAATGAGCTGTTGCTGTGGTAAAACGTGAAAACGCCCAAATTTTGGAATCCATTTTCTTGATGTTTTTGATGAACAAAAATCGCGTTTCACCACAGTGCCATACGTTTTTTCTTTAAAAAAAAGCTTTTACGAGCACGGTTTCCGATGTTTCCGGTCGGCCGGGATGTTTATGTCGATGTCGAAATATGAATATGACTATGATGTGTCTGTATATATATAATATAATATATATATATATAATATACAATATAATATATATATATATACATACATAGAATACTGAGGCTTAGGGGACTCACCAGTTCCTCTCTCTTCTTAAACTTGGATAAAACGCTTGGGCCTTCGCATCCCGAGCCTGGCTGGTCCTGGGTGAACAGGGACAAACAGAATCTGGCTTTATTTTGTAAGGATCACCTGCCCATTATAATGATTCATAGTGAATGTTTGATCTGTAAATGTTTTACTGAAAATGATTTCTTCATTTTTTTGGCCGCGTAGGTGAACGATGTCATCGTGGATGTGAATGGAGCCACGCTTGAAACTTGGACCACATTTTTATCCATGTCCAGAGGGATAAACGGCCGCACAAACCCAAGTCGAAGATCCTGTGGTCTTGGAATCGATATGACCCAGTGGACTTTTCAGGAATATGTTCCTTGGATGATTTCCCAAGGGGTGGCTCTCGGGATTTCGTACAGGACTTCACCCAATTTCGGGTACTGACACCGCCTGAAATCTGGTAGACCGAAAAAAATGTGCATCTGGCAGCTGGTAAAGCCCCAATTTTGGAGCACAAATCATATTGTTGATGATACATTCTGTCCCCACAAAATGGTTGCTGACAAATCTTCATTTTCACTGGTAATTTCTGATCTTGAAACTTCTGGTTGATCATCATTTTCCTATGGAAATTACCAATACATCAACAGTTTGGACACTTCGAGAAATAGCCCTGTGAATTCCCGGAAAAAATGGTGGGTCTCAATCCATCATGGTCATAGACCCATCCCGCTGTCCCATCCCCCAGCTGTCACCAGTAGCCTCCATCAAAAATAGCTTGCACTATCCCCCATTTAGTTTGATGATTTTGGTGAACTAAACCTTCATTCATCGGGGACTTTCCAGCCAGGTATAGTAGTTACCCTCTGGTAATTTCACATAGCTCTTGAAAAACTAGCATTTCAACTGCGGCAAATCCTCTTTTTCAATGGGCCATGGTTTCCATAGCTGAAACATGACCAGAAACTAACCATTTCACAAACGTACAGCAATAGTTGGATGATTTTCCCAGCCAAGCTCCATAAATTGGGGATGATTTTCGGATGTTCCAGCCACGTTTGCGGCAACCGGGTCAGCCAGTCAGCAGCCTTTCAGGACACCACCATGGTGGCCGCCTGCAAGTCCTCTGCTGTGCTGCGGGTGACCTTCACCAGGAGAGAGCACCACTGGTGACGTTCTGAGGCGCCCCCCTTGGACGTTGATTTCCAGAAAGTCACAGAAGGTGTGAGATTTCTATCACCAAATTTTACTTGGAATTAGATGAATTAGATTTTTCATGATTTTTCCCGAATGCGTAGCAAGGGTTCCCGTTTCACTCTGGGGGTCTGGGGGTTGAGGGTGTGTTCGCTCGACGTTGCGTTTGTGGTCGCAACCGTTCGCAACCGTTCGCGCGATCCCCGTATGGCCGTGCCTATGGGAAGTTCTGCAGAGGTGGTCATTTTTGGAGGTTTCAGACGTGTCGTTGCTTCGTTTCGCGTGGCAGGCGTGGCACTTCGTGACATTCAGACGTGTTCTGCAACGTGTCGAAAGTCGTTTTTCTGTGGCAGGCGCAATACTTTTGCGACGTTTTCAGAAGATGTGTTGCAGTTTTCGTGGCAGGCGCAGCACTTTGGACGTGTCCATCGTCATTTTTCGTGGCAGGCGCAGCACTTTAGACGTGTCCTGTTGCGTGTTTTTTGTAAATCGCATTGGCAGGGCTGCGTCAAGTGGTGACAAGGTGCAAATTCCGTGGCAGGCGTGGCATTTTCTGACATGTGCTGAAAATTGACGGAAGCCTCGCACGAAACATCGATTTTGAGGTTGCAAATTTTCAGGTTCTAAGGAAAACTCGTAGGAAAACGTCGATTTTGAAGCTGCAAAGTGTGAAAAGTGGAGGAAGTCTCGCACGAAATGCTCGTTTTGGTGCTCCCACCTGTCTCTTCTCGCGTGTCTGGTTTTCCCGTGGCCTCGCCGTGTCTATGGGGGAAGCTGCAAAACTTGTCCTTTTGTCATGTTGCCAACTGTGAAAATTGGAGGACGTCTCGTACGAAATGCTGGTTTTTCTGCATCCACGTGTCTTGTCTCGAGTCGCTGGTTTTCCTGTGGCATCGCCGTGTCTATGGAGGAAGCTGGAAAACCTGTCCTTTTCGAATGTTTCCAGGCAGGCTGTGTTGTTGTTTTGCGTGGCAGACGTGGCACTTTCTGACATTCCAACCTGTTTGATGATGTTCACAAAATTTCAAAATTGGAGGAAGTCTCGTAGGAAATGCTGGTTTTTCTGCACCCACAAAAACCTGTCCTTTTCGAATGTTTCCAAGCAGGTTGTCATGTCGTTTTGCGTGGCAGGCATGGCACTTTGTGACATTCCAACCTGTTTGATAACATGTGGAAAATATCAAAATTGGCGGAAGTCTCGCACGAAATGCTCGTTTTTTTGCACCCACGTGTCTCGTTTCGAGTCTCTGGTTTTCCTGTGGGGTCGCCGTGTCTATGGGGGAAGTTGCAAAAAGTCTCCTTTGCCAAGGTTTCAAATTTGGAATGTACTGGACTGTTGGTTCAGTGAGGCTTGCGGTTTGTAAAGATATGGCAAGAGTGGGATCATGTTGTAGGTGGAAAGTTGTTGTGTGGACTCATACGTATTTCACAAAGTGTCGTTTATATATATGTTTGGTTCTGCGTCGGCAAACATTGTGTCGTTTTCCCGAATGCGTAGCAAGGGTTCCCGTTTCACTCTGGGGGTCTGGGGGTTGAGGGTGTGTTCGCTCGACGTTGCGTTTGTGGTCGCAACCGTCCGCAACCGTCCGCAACCGTTCGCAACCGTCCGCGCGAGGACCGTATGGCCGTGCCTATGGGAAGTTCTGCAGAGGTGGTAATTTTTGGAGGTTTCAGACGTGTCGTTGCTTCGTTTCGCGTGGCAGGCGTGGCACTTCGTGACATTCAGACGTGTTCTGGAACGTGTCGAAAGTCGTTTTGCGTGGCAGGCGCAATACTTTTGCGACGTTTTCAGAAGATGTGTTGCAGTTTTCGTGGCAGGCGCAGCACTTTGGACGTGTCCATCGTCATTTTTCGTGGCAGGCGCAGCACTTTAGACGTGTCATGTTGCGTGTTTTTTGCAAATCGCATTGGCAGGGCTGCGTCAAGTGGTGACAAGGTGCAAATTCCGTGGCAGGCGTGGCATTTTCTGACATGTGCTGAAAATTGACGGAAGCCTCGCACGAAACATCGATTTTGAGGTTGCAAATTTTCACGTTCTAAGGAAAACTCGTAGGAAAACGTCGATTTTGAAGCTACAAAGTGTGAAAATTGGAGGAAGTCTCGCACGAAATGCTCGTTTTGGTGCTCCCACGTGTCTCGTCTCGAGTCTCTGGTTTCCCTGTGGCCTCGCCGTGTCTATGGGGGAAGCTGGAAAACATGTTCTTGCGGCATGTTTCAAACTATGAAAATTGGAGGAAGTCTCGTACGAAATGCTGATTTTTCTGCATCCACGTGTCTTGTCTCGAGTCTCTGCTTTTCCTGTGGCTTCGCCGTGTCTATGGGGGAAGCCGCAAAACCTCTCCTTTTCGAAGGTTTCCAAGTAGCTTGTCATGTCGTTTTGCGTGGCAAGGAAAACTCGTAGGAAAACGTCGATTTTGAAGCTACAAAGTGTGAAAATTGGAGGAAGTCTCGCACGAAATGCTCGTTTTGGTGCTCCCACGTGTCTCGTCTCGAGTCTCTGGTTTCCCTGTGGCCTCGCCGTGTCTATGGGGGAACTGGAAAACATGTTCTTGCGGCATGTTTCAAACTATGAAAATTGGAGGAAGTCTCGTACGAAATGCTGATTTTTCTGCATCCACGTGTCTTGTCTCGAGTCTCTGGTTTTCCTGTGGCTTCGCCGTGTCTATGGGGGAAGCGGCAAAACATCTCCTTTTCGAAGGTTTCCAAGCAGCTTGTCATGTCGTTTTGCGTGGCAGGCGTGGCACTTTGTGACATTCCAACTGTTTGATAACGTGTCGAAAATGTCAAAATTGGAGGAAGTCTCGTACGAAATGCTCGTTTTTCTGCATCCACGTGTCTTGTCTCGAGTCTCTGGTTTTCCTGTGGCTTCGCCGTGTCTATGGGGGAAGCCGCAAAACCTCTCCTTTTCGAAGGTTTCCAAGCAGCTTGTCATGTCGTTTTGCGTGGCAGGCGTGGCACTTTGTGACATTCCAACGTGTTTGATAACGTGTCGAAAATGTCAAAATTGGAGGAAGTCTCGTACGAAATGCTCGTTTTTCTGCATCCACGTGTCTTGTCTGTGTGTCTCGTTTTCCTGTGGCGTCGTTGTGTCTATGGGGGAAGCGGCAAAACATCTCCTTTTCGAATGTTTCCATGCAGGTTGTCATGTCGTTTTGCATGGCAGGCGTGGCACTTTGTGACATTCCAACCTGTTTGATAACGCGACGAAAATGTTAAAATTGGATGAAGTCTCGCATGAAATGTTCGTTTTTCTGCACTTACGAGTCTCGTTTCGAGTCTTTGGTTGTCCTGTGGCGTCGCCGTGTCTATGGGGGAAATTGCAAAATGTCTCCTTTGCCAAGGTTTCAAATTTTGAATATACTAGATTGTTGGTTCAGTGAGGCTTGCGGTTTGTAAATATATGGCAAGAGTGCGATTATGTTGAAGGTGGAAAGTTGCTGTGTGGACTCATCCAGATTTCACACAGTGTTGTTTATATATTTTTGGTTCTGTGTCGGCAAACATTTCGGCTGGGCTCAATAGCAAGAGAACGTTAAGCAGTCACAGTTCATGAGGAATGTTGTTAGATCAAGGAAAATTTGCAAGATCTAGACATTTCGAATGATCGTGAGAGATATGCAAGCAAATGTCGCATGCACGGAAGTGGTGCTTATGCAGGCATGAAGGTTGATAGCGATGTTGTTGAAGATCTGTCTTTGTTTTAATATGGCGGGTCGCCGGTCCGCGCTGCAATGGCGTAAGCTTGCGCGCCAGAACTGCTTGCGAGGGCGTGCCGCGCGGTATGTTGCTGCTGCTGCGCTCTGGCTTGTCGCGGCTTGCGGCTGCTGCTTGGCGCTGCTGCTGCCGCTAACTATGCTGCTCGGTGTCCTTGCTGCGGTGCTGCTGCCGAGCTTTCTGCGCTGTGTGCAGCTGAGATATCTGCATGGTTTGCTGGGGCAAGAGGCGTTGCTTCTGGAGTTTGTGCAACGTGTGCCATACTACTGCATGATAATCGAAAACCCGAATGACATCGCAGTGCCTTGGCTTCATGTAACGCAGTGATGACTGGGCATGTTGATTCGATTGCAATTCTCCGAATGCATATGCTGCAAGGGGACTGTCTAGCGCAGTTGTGTTGGTTTTCCCTTTGTGAGCAATGCTTCAGTGGTCGCTAGAGTCATGTTTCTGTGATTGCAGCCTGCGAGTGGGAGATGACGGTGGTACGATTTTGCCGCTTCTGTTGGAAAGTTTCTTTTCTTCCCTGCGTACCTGAGGTGTTATGTGGGCTGACGATTGTTTTCGCACGACTTTTGGGCTTGCATGCGGACAGCGACTGGACGTGTCAAAGATACACGTTCATGTTGGTCATGATGTTTTGCAACGGAATTTTGTCGAAGATTGGTTGGACTACGTCGTGGCGGTGTCCCGTGTGGTTCTTGCTCTTGCCGTTTTCATATTATTATCCACTTTTCCCGCCAAAGAAAAAATCTGATGCGGAGAAGGCGCATATCGTTCGTGCTGAGCTCGAGCAATTTCTGGCAGAGCATGGGCAGATGCCATCGCAGCATGCTGATCTGCCAAGCAGTCGCTCTTTATATGCCAAACTGAAGAAGCTGAAGCTGCTGCATCTGTTAAAGCATGATTGGCGCCGGGGTGTTTGCGATGATACTTTGAAATTTTTTTGATTTGCACGGACGCATACCTCGGAGGCAAAATATGACAACGGAGGAGCAGCGAGCAGAAGATGCGCTGGCACGACGCTGGGACCGTCTTCTGGAGCAGAAAGCGTCACTTCCCAATGAATTGTTGAATGAGTATCAACGCATATTTGCTGCGGCCGATGTGGAGGTAGATGATGGCCACCTAGCTGTATGCATTGCAGTCTCGGATTTTTTTGACACAACCCGGCGGTTGCCGAAGCGGCAAGTGGGGGACAGTGACGAGAAGCGAGCAGAGGATGCGCTTGCTCAGCGTTGGGATCGCCTCATGGCTGAGAAGGCGTCAGTGAGCG